TTATTACGAAATTTATGAGATTATGTTTTTGTTTTTTAAATAGAGAAATATTTATATATATATATTTATGATTTATATTGAAATAAATGTTATATATGTGATATTTTGTAAGTAAAATTTTGAAATAAATGTAGTATATATAATGTTTTGTGTAAAATGTGTAGAATTTTGTTGGTGTGTATGTGGGATTTTGATGTGATATTTTGGTTTGTTGTATTTTTTGTTGTAATTTTTTATTTGTTTGTTGTAGAATTTGGTTTTTGTTATGTTTTGGGAAAATTATATGAAGTTTTGTGTTTTTGTGGATGTTTTGGTTTATGGATTATTTTTGTTATATTGGAATATATTTATGATTGTTTATATGTTTTGTATTCGTTGTAATGCATGCTTAATTGTTGGTTGGGATTAGTGGTTTGGGTTTTAAATTTTTAAATTATATTGAAATTAAATGAAAAATGATTTTTAAATTTTTAAATCGCTAATTTAAATTAATAATTGTCTTATTTTCCGATAAGTGTATATTATGTTTTTGTGTTTGTGATTGGTTTTTGGTATGAGCTTATGCTAGATATATATAAGAATGATATGTTCGACCTTAGTATATCTCGCGATTTATGTTTGGAGAGTGGTTGTGGCCGTTTTGGTCTTGGTTTGTTGGTTATTTTTGATGGGTTGGAATATGTTGGAATTAATTTTTATAATTATTTTTTTAATTTTTAAAATTATTTTGAAGTTAAGTGGGAAGTTATTCCGTTACGAAAGGCGAGGGTAATATTTTTTTGGATATATTCCGAGATGATATTGGTTTGACACTTAGATGGGTTGTGGAGTTTGGCAATATTCTTCTTTATGAATTGTAAAGCATTTAACCTTTGTTGTTTATTCGATTGTTTTTTTTAATTATTTACGAAAAAAAATAGGATTACGAGATTGAGATGCCGCGGTTGGTGATACATATTTACATATTACAATTTCTTACTAATTTTAAGGGATTTTTTGATTATTTCCTTGCTAAATGCTAGGAAGAAGATTGGTTTGTTGATTTGACCCAGGTAATTCAAATCTTTGTCTATTTATTCGAACAATAAATCATGACACTCCTTATATGCGTTTTCCCGGACCAATTTTCCAAAAATTCCCGTCCGGATTGCCCCTGGAAAATATAGTCGCCTTATATTTCTTTTGGACCACTTACCCAAATCTGTCCGAGCTACCCCGACCCTATATCCGGAAGATATAATAATTTTATTTTTTATAGAATTTAATTTCCCGAAATATATTAAATATTTTTGTCTATCTCCCGAAAATATATTAAATATATCATAATTATCCATCTTCATTATTCCGAAATCGCCTTTCGTTAGGCGTTTGCTCGATATATTTACCTAATTCTTTCTTTGCAAATATAATTACATATATCTATTTATAATTGTTAATTGGCATTTTGTTGTTTATGTTTTCTGCCATGGGTTTCATCTCGCACGTTGCTGGAAAGCAGCGGGCCCCCGCTAGCTTTAGTTTATATTGAAAAACATTGAATTGTATATATTTTATATTCATTTAACTAAACAATAAATATATTGAATTAAACAGTATAATAATTCCCGATTGTGGCTTTATTTATTTATCAATGTGTTTTAATTATATGGTATTATTAATTAATGATTGTATATATATATATAAACAAATATTAAATCAAAATTTGATTTAAATATAGTTTATTTTATTTTTTAAAATCGGTATGGTCTCGAGGTTGTATTTCTCGTGTATTGGTAAGCCGTTGTAATAGTATTCCGGCCGAATTATAGCGTTTGCGGCGAGCGGTTATACTTGTGTTGGTTTTTTTGCGGCATATGCGCGGCCTGGAAGGTCCCGAAATTTTGCCGAAATTTCGGGGAATTTTTAATAATTCTGCTTAAAGTTCCCGCAGCGTAGCCCGGTCAATTTTGGGTCGCTTCCGGCGACGTGACTCTTAGGTTTCCGGACGCCCGCAAATTTCTTTAGAATTTAGCGACCTCGAAAAAATTACCGGGGCAAATTTCGGGGAAATTTGGGAACTTATCCGAATCGAAATTTCTCGAAAATTTCGTGCCGGGTGTTTCCGTATTTTTGCCTCTTTCTATGTCTTCCTATTATTTTTTGTGTGCCCATATGTATCTATTATATAATTTATGTTTTTCTTTATCTATTTTTGTGTATTTCTGGGTATCCTAATTTGTTTCTTTTTAGTCCTTGGGTTTCTCTGTCTCTATTTATCTGTCTGTGTTTCTCTATCTCTCTGTCTCTCTGTCTCTTTGTCTTTCTCTCTGTCTTTCGGGTTATCTCGGTTTGTGTTTGTTTGTTTCTACGTGTCCGTAGTCTTCTTGTGTCTCTTTATCTATTTCCGTGCATCCGTATCTATCTATTTAGTAATATCTATCTATTTTTGTGTTGTTTTATTTGATTGTTTGTTTATACTTGTTTCTACGAATCGATTCACAATTATAATATATTTCCGCATTGCCGCGTATTATATTTCCTTTTTTTAAGCTCTGTTTTTGTTCTTTTCGTTTTATTTTGTTTTTTTAAATAAATTAATAATATATTCCACTATTATTCTTTCTCGTTTATTTGCCTACCTGCCTGCCTGCCTGCCTGCCTGCCTGCCTGCCTGCCTGCCTGCCTGCCTGCCTGCCTGCCTGCCTGCCTGCCTGCCTACCTGCGCCCTGCCTGCCTGCCTGCCTGCCTGCTTACGCCCTACCTGCCTGCCTCCGCCCTGCCTGCCTGCCTGCGCCCTGCCTGCCTGCCTGCGCCCTGCCTGCCTGTCTACGCCCTGCCTGCCTGCCTGCGCCTTGCCTGAATAAATATCGAGAAAGAAAGAAAATTGAAGAATTAATTAAATACAAATTAAATAAAAATAATATAAACAAGAATTAAATAAATTTACAAATGAATTAATTTGATTTATTTATTATATTGTTTGATATTAATAATTTGATATTTTATAAACAAATATTTTTTTTTTTTTTTTTTTTTCAAAATCATTTTTTTTTTTTAATTTGTGTTATTTTTCCTATGTTTTGAAACCCGTATTTCTTGTTTATGGTAGATTAATTTAGATGGATATTATTAGGATTGGGCCCATGATATATTAAGATTTAATTTCTTATTTTAATAAAGTCGGTGAACTTAATGGATAGATATTTCACAAATATAAATATATATATTTGAATTTTTATTTTTTTGATATATTGTTTATATATATATATTCTTTTCTAATTTATCTTTTTTAAATAGTATTTTATTTCATTAATTTTATATTATTATTATTCTTTCTTATTTATTATATAGAAAATATTAATATAATTCTATTTATTTTATTTACCTATTTTAATAATTTATCGATTTTTTTTAAAATTTAAATATCTAGGAAATGAGCGTAAACGGGAGCGGGGCTCAGCCCTTGCCTCGTGAGCGGGGCCTAGCCCAATGCAAAAAGATTGGCAATCTTTTATATAATAGATTTTTTTTAATTTGTTTAATTTAATTAATTAATTATTTACCTATTTATGTATTTCTATTATTCTACCTATCTATCTATATCTCTGCCTATTTATATTCCTATCTATCTATCTCTTTCCATCTATCTATTTTTCATTTATATATATATATCTATCTATTCATTTTTTATTATATATCTTTCACTCATCTCAATTACAAAATTCCTTCATTTATCATTTTACAAACCTTAACTAATATCAAAATATCTAATATATATTTATTAATTTAATTTTCCAATTTCCCTATTTCTTTTTTTGTTTATAATTCAAAATTATCGGAATTTTACATCTAGAATCCAATTATAATTCCAATATAAAACCCTTTTTAAATTCAATTTATTAAGATTCTAAATCTAAATCTTAAATCCAGAAGTTATCTATAAATAATTTTAAAAACCAAAATTAAACTCAAAATATCAAACAAATAATATTAAAATAAAAAATAAATACAAATATGTTTTTTTTTCAAAATCATATATATAGTTTAAATCTTAAATTATTTTTCATATAAAAAATACAAAATCCAAATTAAATTCAACATACCAAATTTAAAATCCTAAATAAATAAATATAGAATAACAAAAAATAAAATATCCCAAATAAATCCATATTATATATATTAGTCAGTATTAATTATTTCTTTATCCTTTCCTTCATAGTCTTTTATAATTTAATAATAATATATAAATATAAATTATAATATAATTCAAATAAAATCAATAATTATAATAAAAACAAAATGACAAAATATAAAATATACCAAATATAAATAGAACACAAAAAACACTTTCAACATTATAATATATTTAAGAAAAATTAAATAAATCAATCATAATTATGTTAAGGTGTTCGATTTATTTCATTTAACTATATTCAGCAAAATATCTAAATATTCTATTCCCGAAAAATGATATATTTCAATCATGATTACGTTAGAATTTTCGATTTGTTTCATTTGAGCAAATATGAGTCTCCGTAGAATTCCTTGCCTCCTCAATAATTTCCTGCCCGATTGCTGCCACTTACCTGGCAAGGCAATGCGACTTAGCCTGATGATTCCTGGAATAAGGAATCAAATAGAAACATGAAGAATTAGCAAATTGTGACTCTTTCAAGGGATTGTATGTGAAGGCAGCACAAACTCATACCAAAATTCGACAAGGAACCACTGCCAGAAGACCGAAGAAAAAAAACCGAGGGCAACAATCACAATATCAAGCCACGAGCATGTGCATGTTCGAAATGTTCGAACTGTTCCTCCTGACGCTGCGAGTGCTTGGAATCGGACCCTGCGGAACACATGCGTCTCAAAATTGTAAAACAAAGACCTTCCGGCGAACAAAAGGGCCTTCGCTTGGGGAGTTACTCAATGGCTCTGGCAAAATCTTGCAAGCATTTGGGAGTTTGTCATGAGTGCGGGGCCCCTGCTCCTCCCCTGCTACTCTTGGCATCGGATATTTTGGCTCCGGCGCTTGTAAATCGATGTTCACGCCAGCTTTGGACTGACTCAGTCCACAGATTTCACAGAAATGCGTCAATTTGAGTTTGCCCTGTCCAATCCACGCTGAATAGTTGCCAATTTGCACAATGTTGTCCTGTGAAGCCATCCGACAAGAATCCATGGAAAAGGCCCCAATTTGGCGCAATCACCGTTTGGACGACTCGTCCGCGGTTAGAACTCAGAACCATGCATAAGCGACTGCCTGTCAAGTCAATTCAGTGGCGTGACAGCTCCACGGCTCTTCCCGTGTAGCTACTCGTAACTTGCACCTAATCTCAGTTGGAAAAGGTCAGAGCAAGGGGTTTGCAATGATGTGTCGGGGGCGGGGATGTCAAGAGCGTGGGAGGCTTCGTTGGGAACATGTCCTGCCGAACTTTCTGAGTTGCTATGCAGAAAGCTGTCATGGGCTCCATGACGTTGTTTTTGAAGGACCCGAAGGTAGACTTCAGCGCCGCCTTCTCCTTGCCAGCAAAGCACACAAATCATGCAACAACGCCTCAGCGCATCTTGTCAGGTTGCTTTCATTTCGCCATGCAAACTTTCTGTTGGAGCCCAGTAAAGAGGCAACAGAAGGCAAAGCAACGGCGACCAAGAACAACAGTGCGCGCGATTGCTTCCACTGAATCAAGTGATATCATAAGGCAAGTGATGTCGGAGCCTCGTCCGCAATGTGCTCAAGGAAGGCCACGCGGCAAATGTCCACCAACAGCTCCAAGATGCGGAAGGTGGGTCGGGACGCCTTGCAGACATCCTGCTGGCTCCTCTTTTGCGTCTTCACCTCCGCTTCCAAATTCTTAATGTCTTCCTCCATACCCTTCCTCAGTACACAGTTGCGGCTCAAGCCTGTGAAGCAAAAACACGGGTAAGTAAAGAACAACTTGGCAAAGGGGGCAGGGCAGGGTGCCTCTCGTCAACCAGGCATCAGCTCATCTCGCAACTCGATGATGTTCTCTTCAAGGTTCCCCACAAGCTCCCAATCATCATCCTCGTCCCCGCCTTTCTTCTTTGCGCTCTTGCAGCGCCTGAACTCCTCTGTCTTCTCTTTCAGCTCCTCTACCCGGACTGCAAACTCCATCTTTCGCAGCCATATCTGTTCAATCGGATTAGAACCAAACAGATCTGGGGCAGTGCGCGTTTACTGTCACGCGGTGGGAAATTTAACCTTTGTGTTAGGATCTGTCATGTAGTGGTCAGAGTCCTCCTTCTTCTTGTGCAGGGCCTTCTTTGTGCTCTTGATCTTCGCGTCCAGAGGTTCCGTGCTGCAGTCCTGCATTTCAAACATCTTGCACTGGAGGATAGACACGAGCTCTTCTTTGAACTCCTTCACTTTCTGCAAGTCGAGCTCATCTACAGCCTCGCAAATCTGCTCCGCAGTGACGCCAGCTTTCGTGATAGCGTTACACACCTGACAATGGGGCTACTCAGTAAACATTCACTCTTAGCAAGCACACTCTGTTAATTTTGGATAACCCCTTTACTTGCCCACAAGGCGAATCGCAGCTGATTGTACATGAAGCAGACCGAGCCGTCAAGCCCCGACGCACGCATGCCTATGTTCGCACTGGTGTTTGGCGGGCTTGGTGCTTTGTGTCCAAGCCTCCTCTGGATTGCAATCAGCACGTTGCATCTTGGCCTCATACATGATGAGCGCTTGCATATCCTCCTGCGGCACATCTTTGTAGTCCAGGCCTCTTTGGCGGAGAAGCTGCTTCAATGCGACCTGCGTGGCATGACCCGCAAAAGGCGGCTGCCACAAGCAACTGACATGTCCGTGACAGTTTCAGAAAACAAGTGACCAGCATGGTGTCTTCACACTTCAGCCCTCAGTACGGCATGATCCCTTAAGATTTCTCTCAGAATGCTCATTCGGCTCTAACACACAATCAATAACATGACAAACACCCCTGCGCAGCCGCAGAATCCAACTAGGAGAAGCCACCCTTTGACAGACACCCCTGCACACACACACATATGGACACAGAAACATATCTATGACAACTCACATTCGCTTGTCACTATATTCAAAGATGGGTTGAAGGGACTGTGGGGCACACACACACAACCCGTGCCGGGTCATTGCTTCTTTGATTGTCGTGTCCCTGACAATAGGGCACCTCGTCATGAGTTCGCACAACCCTGTTGCGCTCCATGCAACGCGCTGTGCAGGCCTTTGCTTTGGAAATTTTCTTGGTGCCGCCTGGAAGGGGCTCCTCGAGTTGCTCCTTGCCAGCTGGCTTGGCCGGATCAAAGGCTTCCAACCCTTTCGTGTTCATTGCATGCGCTTGCTTTTTTGCGGAAGGCAACCAGACTCTTGGGCTTCCTCTCGATGTTTTCCAGTCTGCCCTGAACTCAGAACACGCACGCAAGCCCAGTCCTTCAGGCAAGTTGTGAAGCGCACGATGCTCTCCACCATCGAAACAAGGTCCTCAATCGCGAGCGCTGTTGAGCACCATGGGGTGGCCACGTGACCAACCGACCACGTGTTATACTTTGCTGACACACAAGCAAAACACAATGATGGACTTGCAGGAAACCATTGCAAGCATTTCGACAGCCCCATTGCCATGATCTTTCACGCAAGCAGTCCTGCTCCATCATACTACTGCGGCCAAGTTGTTCTTTCATCTGTTGCAAGCCTTCAAGCTGCTGAGTCAGGAAACGCGTGTTGCTGGTGCCGAAGCATTCCACCAGCTGCTTCTGCTTGTCGTGCAGCTTGTCGAGCTGGGAGAGCTGAGTCTGGCTCATCTTGAACATTGTCTCTCCTTGGATTTAGCTGCCATGAAAACCCAATGCCCAACAGGCACAAAACACCTGAAACAAATGCGAACATCCTCTCGCTAGGTCCGGGGCGAGTCTCTTTCCTGCTCGTACAGTGGCTGGGACACTTCAAAGTCTTTAAGTAAAGATGCGTGCTCACTCTCGCAAGCCACAAGTTGCCTCGCCACATCGTTTTCATGATGTTGGGCATCTTCAAGGCGGCCTTTGAGCTTTTCAATGTCCTGGTCCAACTCCTTTGCCAGCTGTTTGTGGACTTTCTGGATTGCGTCTTGGTCTGCTGCAGCAAGCTTCTCTGCGGCCCGGATGGATTCTTTGAGGCTGCTCATTTGGTTTTTGCACCTCTTCTGCAAGTCTTTGATATCTTGGTCGCTACTTGCTTTATATTGCTGCTGCTGCTTCCGAAGCATGGCAACCTTTCCTTCTAAGATGCACTTCTGCATGTTGACCATGTCCGTCAGCTTCTCAAACGCGCTCACCAAGTCTTGCAACTTAACAAGCTGCAACAAGGGAACGTGTTCATCCAAGAATAACACGCTTGCCTGCCCACCATTCGCCGCCTGTACAAGAGGTAGCAGGCTGGAACGGACCAACTCTTCGGATTCACTCGCTGCCAAGAACAAGCCCTGCTCCTGGATGTGCACGAAGAAGGCACACATGGACCTCTTCTGCTCCAGCAGTGTGCGATGCATGTCTTCCGATTTGGAGGCGGCACAAGTGATATCTGCCGGCGCCGCGAGGCCATCGGTCAGGAACACCACAAACACACGAGCAAACTTAGGATCCGCTACCGCGCACTCTTGGATCCTTTCCCAGGCCTTCGAGAAGCAAGTGCCTCCTCTGCAGCCCTCCCTCTGTAGCGCGTCAGCTATGTTGGCTGTTACTGGAGCGGAAGTGACCAGGCGCTTGGCCACAGAGTTGAAAACAACAACGCTGATCTTGTCACTTGAGCCTCTGCTCACAAGGGCAGTCCTGAATGCAGTAGCTGCGCGAACAGCGTCCCTAAAGCGCTGTCCTGTCATACTCATGCTGTTGTCCACCGCAATGATGATGTGGTTGATGTTGAAAGAGTCGGTGTTTGACAAATTTGTCTGAAGCTCTGCGATGAGCTCTTCGCAAGCATCCAACGGCCTTCTGGCTTGTGCTTGATCCCGGGCCTGCTTCTTAAGTAGTTCTCGCTGTTGCTCCTCAGCTTGTTCCTTCTGATCACGGAACTGAGCAAGAAGCTCTTGTTTCTCAGGAGCCTTCCTTTGCAGCTTCTCCAAATCCTGGTTCTTGCGCTCCAGCTGGTCCTGTATCTGCAGGACCTCCTGGATCCAAAGCTCGTGCAGTCGGAGGTCCGCAAAACCAACAAACCCAATTGGTTTGAAGAATCTGTTTTGGCACCCTGGTCCTGCTTGGCCTCTTTCTGCATAACACCCAGGAAGCTTTTCTCAGCCTCTTTGAGTCGGACGGCGGCTTCCTTTCTGCCCCGCTCAATCTCCACCTTCTTCTGCTGCTGCTCATACTTCTGGCGCTCGTTCCAGACTTCGACCACGTCCCCGAGGATGTCAGAACTCAAGATCTGGTTGCTGGCGGCCTGAATGGCCTTCATTGCAGCCTCTCGGTGTGAAGCGTCACAGAACTTGCTAAGAGCGTCTTTTGTGTTCTCGAAATCGCTCAAGACATGGCTGAGTCTGCTGACTTCCGACTTGATACACTTGCTGTCAAACTTGACATTGCTTCCTGCGCCCCGTCCTGGCACAAGGGGAAGGTGCGCCCGTAAAACACATCCAACTGACACGGCAATGAAAATTTCGAGGGTGTGTCACGCACGACGCGCCGCAAATCTTGTTCTGGAGGTGTGTAAAGGGATCCTTTTACTCAGTGCCAGGAGCACAATGTAGCGCAGAACAACAAACAGCCGCAGCTCCCGCTCGAAATTCTCAACTCATCTTCTTTCCAAAGTGCAGTACGCAAAGCGTGCCTCGGCATCTCCAACTTGAGATTTGCAACTGCTTAGTGCGAGCCAAGCGACGGCAAAAAGGGGCGTCACTGGCCCGGCTGGGATTGGGTCCGCAACAAGATATGTAACAAGGCAAAGCAAAATGCAGTGCGAAAAAAGTGCTCGGCAGCTCCGGCTTGCTTGCAGCCATTCAAAGGGGGGTCGCTGGCCCGGGGCCGGGGTTGGTCTGTAACGAGGATGTAACGAGGAGCGTAACGAAGTATAGCAGAAAGAGGTCCTTTCTCTGGCCCCTGCTACAGCTTTTCATTTGAACTGCAAGGTCTCTGCATGTTGACTGTTCAGCGAGAGCACGCTCTGCAAAAGACTGCTAGGCACGCACCCGTGGGAAATCACAGCGAGATTGTGCGTGCATCGGGGTATGCAGCGAGGGGCCAAGCGGTTTGTTCATGTGAGGCGTGTGACGAAGGTGTGTAGTGTGTGTAACGAGCCAGCAGGTCTTGTTACAAAGGTCTGTGACGACGAGGTTTGTAACGATTGTCTGCCGTGGCTCTGTTGCAGACCCCTCCAAACAATCACCGCTACGTCAGTGCTATCACACCGGGCTTGACCAATGATAGTTTCCGGACAAGGCCATGTTCGAGAGAAACAAACTCTTTCCGGAACCGGAACCTTTTGCGATGCCATCGCACACTTGCTTTTCTGCAACGTGCGTCATGTTTTCTGTGGCAGTTGCGGCTGAAAGCGCGGACAGCACGCAGGCTGACTGCAGCTCCCCCAGGCCAAAAAATTCAACTGAAAACACAGACTCAAACAAACAGAACACCGAAAAACCAACAGACGACACAAACAAACACAGAAAAACTCAACCTTCAACTCAGAAACACAGAAACTCAGGAAAAAACTCAGCCTTGAACGCTGAGTCTGAGGCTGAGTCTTTTCTGAGCTTTCTGAGTTTGAGTTTTTGAGTGCTTTTTTTTTTTTAATTTAATGTTTTTTTGTGTTTTCAAGACCCAGAAAAACTCAGAAATAACTCAGAAAGACTCAGCGTCAGACTGCCTCAAATTCAAGTCGGGGGGATCGAGTTCAAGGCGGAGATCAATTCTGAGTTTGTTCTGACTTTTCCTGAGTCAGTCTTTAAGTCTTCTCAGAATGGGAGTTTTCCAGATTGAGTTTTGCGGGTTGAGATTTTTCTTCTTTTCAGCTTTTGCAATTTCCTGGATTTGTGGCCTCTGTGGGCGAGATCGGGTCAAATGCTGAGGCTTCCCCACCAAGCCCAGCACGCAAGCAAGCTACGAACTGTTTTGAGGGTGTGTAACGCGCGACGCGCCACGAATCTTGTTACGGAGGTTTGTAACGGGGATCCTTGTTGCAATTCTTCAGAGCAGTACGCGAAGCACTCCTCCGCAACTCCAGCTTGCAATTTTGCAGGCGGTCAACAGCCAAGCAACGGCAAGAAGGGGGGTCGCTGGCCCGGGCTGGGGTTGGGTGTGTAACGAGGTATGTGACGGCTATGTGTCGAGGTCTGTGACGAGGCAGAGCGGAAGCGCAGCACGCAAAGCGCCCTTCCGCAGCTCCAGCCTTACTGCGGCTATTCAACGCAAGCCAAGAGAGGTCTCCAACAAGGTATGTAACTGCTACGTAACGAGGGGTGCAATGAGGCAGGTTGCTTTCTTCCGACCCCGCTTCCAACTTTTCATCTGAACGGCAAGCGCTCTCAGTGAAGGCTTCTCTGCAAAAGTCTGCTCTGCAGGCACCCATGGGGAGTCACCGAGAGTCTGCGCATGCATCGGGCTATGTGCCCAGCCAAGCGGTTTGTTCGCCTGAGGTGTGTGCGAGGGGTGTGTGTAACAAGCCAGCGGGTCTTGTTACAGAGGTCCGTACGAGGTCTGCCAAAAAACATATTGTTTGCCACGACTCTGTTACAGACCCCTCCAAAAAAATACTGCCACGCCGCACACGTGCGTTTCCAAGAAGCCAGCGCCACGTCTTGTGAAAACAACAATTCACGCCTGTAAATTGATAGCCCTTCAAATTACAAGATGACACGATTTTCACCTCTGGGTCTCTGGGTAGCGTGGACCCCGCATGAATCAACCTACTGGATTCTTGGGCAGGTGTTCCCCATAAAGTGGCGGGCCCCCATTCATGAATGGGACACTCCCCGTGATCAACCGATGGGATTATTTATCCAGAGTTCTCACTAAGAGTGACACGCCAGACGCTACGCCTGTAAGGTCAAACACGTTGTCCACCCTGTTCTCCGTGTCCATGACTGCCCGCATCAAGTCATGGCATCGATTCGCCCCCGATGAGATGGTCAGAGCCAGGTTGATGCGCCTTCCTTAGTTCCACTTTCTGGATCTCACCATTTGCTTCCAACAGGCATTATCCTTTGACCCATTTGAAGGAAACACACGGATCCGCTTCCTTGGGGCTCTCGGTATTTCCATTCATCAGAAACCCCCCTTGTGAGTCGTTGGCGCATCTTAAGTCGTAGCAATATCCTAGGAAACTCGTGCAAAGCAAATGAGGCTTAGCCCGCAATGTTAGTATAAACAATCTTCCCGGCTGTTCCTCCAAGTTGCCTCTGATGCTGAAGGGTACTGTTTTCCCTCTGAGAAGCCCTACATTTCAGAGTCTGTCCATTTGCTACTGGCCTTGGAACATTCAAGGGAGGGCCGTTCAAGGGAGAGCTTGGCAAGCGCAAAACTTGGACAGGGGGCGACTGCGAATCTTGAGAATGCCTTCCGGCGCTGGCCCTGTCATGTCAGAATCAAGGGATGAATCCACCCTTCGCCCCGAGCGGAAAGTCTGACGTGCTGTTCGTTGAATGCAAAATCCAGTGTTTTCTTGAAGACCACTGATTGCAGCGCAACCGGAAAACAACAATACAACTTTCCTAAAGTATATAGCAGCACTAGCTTTGAAGACAAAAGCAGCCTTTGCGGAGAAACAGAAATGAGAAACAGAAATCATACAATCTTGAACGCCTGTGCCAAGTATCTCTCGCTCTCGTCCAAGACTGACAGCAGCTGCTGGTGGCACGCTGAGGCGTCACTGTCCAGGCCGGTCATGATGTTCTTGGCGCCGGCCCGCAACTTCTCCCCAAGTTCCTTGGACTGAACGAACTGCAGATGTTTGTACCTTTGTCCTTGTGAATCTGTGGGGTCAGTGCGTTGGATTCCCAAGCCAAGGCTACGGTCAGACTACACGAAGCGCAGCCACATAAATTGTGAAGGCATGGTCTATACAAAGTAAAACAAACAGATGGAACACGGACTGCCAAGTCTGGCAAGGCTTCCAAGGCCTCTTTGTTGGCCTCTGTCATGTTCGAGCAGCGCAAGGCAAGAGTTCGAATGCCCTCAGCGGTGGCTCCGATCTCAGCAGCTGTGTTCGGCTCGGACGCAGGCTCCGGCGATGCAGGAGCTTCGGTCGCATCGGACAAGAAGGCCTGCGCGGCCTCGAACATCGAGCTTCCGCCGCGGCGACGCTTCCAAGACAAAGAGTTCACTGTGCTGTGTGGGAATTGTCACGCCCTCTGAGCCACGCAAAGCAGCAGGGCAAAGCAATGGGGAGGACCCAAAGCCCAAGTGCATGATGCTTGAAACTGCCTAATTATGGGTGCCTTCTCTGCATTTAGCAATCTTTCGCTTTTCGTGGTGTCGTGCCATCAAAAGTTTCTGCGATCTCTTCATGTCCACTCCGCAGACTCATTCTCCATACCAATTTACCACGCTCCCCCGCAACTGCTTCTGGCGCCCTCCCCTGCCTTTGGCAGAAAAAAGCGCTCCGAGGCCGGAAAGTCGGGCCTGGCACGACTGCAAGGCATGGCAAGTGCTGGCTTTCCGCATCAAAAATGAATTCCATTGATGGACAAACTTGCACAGAAGCACGTCTCAGCGGACGAATCACGACCGGTCTGCTTGCTATGAGGCCGTCACAACCTGACGGCAGGAAGACAAAGACTGGCTTTGTGCAGCTGCTTGAGTCGGTAAAGTGTTGCAAGGCAAACTGCTCCACCGAAGAAAAAGCGGATCGGCCTTCGTGGGTTTCCGGCATCAGCAAAGTAACGAACGCTGCTGAGCGATGCCAAGGAGTCTCCAAGACAAGCTATCGTCATGAAGAATTTGCTTGCAAATCCGAGTGACCTAAAATAGAAATCGGATCGAACTAACAAGTTTGACTTCCTTTCCAGCTGTGATTCAACATACAAAGGGATTTTTTTATTTGAGAAAACACACCATTTTGCTTGGGGATCTCAGCACTCTTTCAGCGATGATTTCTGCGCAACGGGCTGTCTGTCAGGTGCTGCGTATGTTGCGAGTCAATTCCGGGATATCCGAACACGGCTATGCGACTTGTCCGGCCGATCCAGGGAAACATCCGTTTGTTTACCCCGTAAGTAGGTCGGTCATTTTGTCTGTTGCACCTAAACCGCAAAGGGCTTTTGGCAATGGACAGCAAATCATCATAGATGTTTTCCATGTGATCATCAAGCACAAGCCGCGCACTGATGCCATGCTGATAGTCTCGCTGCCTGCTTGAAAGTCCTGAGCTCATAATGCACAGCTAACAGAGTTGATTGAAAGCGCAACAAGGATCCCCTAACATGTGCATGGATTCAATTCACACTTCAGCTGCTGACATCTTTGATCAACACCACGGGTTGCGTGTGTGTCAAAGCAAGGTGTTTTCGAGATACAGCCATTGAACTAAACATACAACGCTCCAAAAGGAAGGAACATCACCACCCACGGATGAAAAGTCTTTAGAGCTACTCTTGTCCACCTCTGGTCGGTTAAACAGGAAGTTGAAGATCTGTAATTGGTTGCCAAATTCAGGCCCCTCAAAAAAGGCACCGAAATGTCACCAGAGTCCCACAAGGGCCCTTATTCTTGACACCTAACTGTATACAATTCTCTTCGCAAACTTACACAGGCGCCCAGCTTTGCTTTGCGCCGTATCATAGATCTGGGAAGGAAATGTTCGGACCAGCCAAGACTGAATCCACAATAGAATCATCATCATTTGCCATTCAAACCTCTTTTCTCCAAAGCCAAGGCACCAAACCACCCGTAATTTTTGAATAGTGGCGCATCTGATTGGTTGCGTGGTGCAAACGAATCAATGTTAAACTACTCCGGAAAGGGCCTTTGCTGTTGCGGAGGGCGTCCCATACAACCCACTTGGCCGGCAAGGACAAGTCCGAACCCGGCTCATCTGTGCTTGGCCCGGTTGAAACTTTTTACAAGGCGAGACCAATTTGACAACATCACGGTACCGATCCTAGTGAAGGTAAGCTCTGTTTAACTATTTCTGCAGGGAGTCTTGTCGGGGGTGCCTTCTCAGCTTGCAAGTCATCCGCATACTCGGTGAATTCTGTGAGCCAAAAGCTTGGTGCAACCACTTTCCAGAGCTCAGATTATTTGCCTGCCAAGCAACCAATTACGCCATATGTCACAAGTCTAAGTCGCAAAACGTAAAAACAAAAGCCAATATGTCAAAGCATATACTAAAGACTACATATCTTCCACAATGGACTTGCTTTAAGTGCGATTTGTTTCAACTAGTTGAGTTTCTTTAATCTTACTTTGTATGTACATTCAATATGTGTGCCGTTCAAAAGCTATGTTCAATCATCTAGCCTATGCTTCCGAACATATCATTCAAATGCTATGTTGTGCTATCCGCCTGGTCGTGGGAACTAGCCGTGACAAGTATCATAGTTTCGATTGAAACTACATATATCCAATATTCATATTCCGCGGCATTTCTTTCAATCCTCTCCGGACGATAGGTCATCCTGGCACGGCAACCGTCAACACTACTAGCACTTTGCTGTGACTCCGTCCTTGGTATGGAAAGGTGCCACAACATGTGCCAACGACGAGGGCTCATCCTCATGCTGTATTCATGTGTCATAGTGTCATGCAAATGCGTACCAACACAGCACCGCTTTGCACAGGGGCTCACAGTCACATGCATCACACTGTCGCTGATGTCCGATAAAGAAACTGGGGTCTTAGAGAAGATCATGTTGACGTCAAATGGCTTGCCCTATCTGTAGCGTCGAGTTCATGCGAAAGATCTTCTCCGACACATTTTCAGCATGCTCGTGTCTATGTTGACGTGGCTGCAAGCCAGGATACCCAGGTCAGTGCAGCAATGGGGCGCCGACAGAACTAGCTTGAATGCCAACCTTCTTGTCAAATCAAAGACAAAATCAATGGGAGCAGTTGATGCGTTGGTCAGAACTGAAGTCGTATTCGTTCCTCGCAGCCACTGGCAACTCAGAACTGAAGTCGTAAAGATGCCCAATGCCATGAAATGAGTACACACGTTTACTCTCAAGCAGCATGTTCAAGAAAAGCCTGAGCGTGCAAGGCACTTGTGGCAAACGTAGATTTGCTCAGTTGTCGCTCAGCTCTCACCACTCTCCAACAACCTTTATGTTTCCCCAAGCAAGCCTGTCTGCGAGCACAACAAACAAATGTGGCTGCGTTCAAAGACTTCGTGCATCCAGTGCATGTGGAGTTGCCTGGGTGAACGCTTGAACCAATCAACAACACTGATAAAGATGAAAACCAAGCTGACACTAGCAGCGGCAACCTATTTTCAACACACACTGATCTCAAAGGCACCTATGGTTCGCCTGTTTGCCTTTCTTTCCCTTGTGAGCTCACCAGTTCGCAGCTCCCACCCTTCCCTTCTTTGATCTAGCCGTAGAAGAGCATATATGTTCTCCGGGATCAACACACCAACTCGGGCCGCCTGGATTCCGCTGTTTGCCAGGACCAAGAAAATGCTTTTTGGGCATGAAGTTGAAGGTGCGCTCTTTGCCGTCAACACACCACCTGTGCCTGCACGCTGCACGCCCTCAGGCGGTCCTCCTGCAATTGCTCGCGCAGAAGGGGCAGCTGCGAGTCCAGGCGCGTCTTCTGGCTGGGACCCATCTCCTGATGCCGAATCTGACTCCCCGCATGCAAGTTGCAACCAGTGAGCCTGATACAAAAAATGAAGCAATTCGTTATGGTTGGTTGGCAACTCCTTTTTTGGGCCAAGCCCTAGCCAAAAGGGATTTAGGTGCCACTGAACAACTGGCTTGGGGACTGTGGCCAGGGGACTTTGTCATGTCAGCACGCCAAGTGGTGATGAGTTCAATCTCTCGGCTAATTCAGGAATGCCTTCCCATGAACTTCACATGAAAGAGCCGAAGTTGCTGCCCTCTGCTTTTTGGGCGGAACGTGTCAACAAATGCTGGACATCCCTTGGGTTGCGTTTGAACCAACCTAAAAATGTACCCGCACCCCAACAAAAAACACGCCCACTGTTTTGGCAGATTCTTTGGCCATGCTGCCCCTTGCATCCCCAAAACATGTCGACTCTCTCCGCATCCAGCAGAGCAGTCCCGGGCATCAGAGCGCCGAGAGATCTCGTCGCAGATCCCCAAGCGGTTGGACCTCACAGAGCTTCGTTTGATTCTCGAAATGGTGTGCCCCAAACTGGCTGTGGGTCAAAAATAGGGTAACCCCAAAATGGAACCCTGGTAAATGGAAACAAGGACTAAAACCTGCGGTCCTCTGGTGGATTCATATTGATCCATGCCCAAACTATGGGAAACCAAAAGGAAGCAACACGTTTGGGGATACCCGATGTTGAGAACCCCCCATTTCCTGAACTTGAACGGACAGCGAGGGCGAATCAATCAATTCGTCCTGTGCTTAGGAAGGCCATCCCCCAATCCGCACAAAAAAGAGCGACCCTGAAATCAGCTAGGAAGTTTTGTATGTATGAACAACTGTCTCATATCCGCATTCGAAAATGGCGACCCCTGCATCTATACATGCAAATCTCAGATATTTAATCTTCTGGTTGGGACCCAACCCGGTTGAGAGGACTCTTTCCGAGTTTCCGAAGGGACGGGTCATTTGTGGGCAAATCAGATATTGTATACAGGTTCTCCAAGGTTTGACACGCACACAAGTAGTGTTCCGAATTCGCACATGTGGGCCCAGTTTATACTTGGTTGGCGTGTGACCCAGTTGTGGGTTCATTTTCCCCAATTGGGTAATTCACAAGTTGCTTTAACCAGAGTTACCAACCACTTGGGAATCAAACCCAGGGGCCTACACGGCCCTGTCAATGCAAAAGGATGGGCTTTGTCACACCCGCGCTGCGTAAGTGGGCCGGACTCCTCAGCTCGTCTTTCTTTTCCAAAATGGGTTTTGATGGTTCCTCAAAAGAACCATGTTTGAACATCAACCTTTTGAAAAGTTGCCAAGCATCCGTGAGTTAGGCCCAATCAAGCCCAGCCCTCAACCGTCGGGGAGCGGCGTCACATCGACTCCCCCTTCCGCCTGTTCCAGAAGCGTCTGGACAGAGTTGTGAAGGGCCTCAGCTGAAAATCCGGTGCAAAACAACCTGAAGTGTGCTTCACCGACCTTTGGACGAAAGACACATGCATAAACCAAAGAAGAAATCCCACAAAAGGGTGTTGGAAGACTTTCCTTTGGGAGAAGACCTTGGGACCCACTTCCATGAATGTTGGAAAGAGGGTGCTGTATTTGCAACCAGTTCCCCAAAAAAGACAATCATACATGAACAAAGTGGTACCCCCCTAACAGGAACCCCCAAAAAGGGTTCCACAGATTATACCAGCATAGACACCGTTTATCAAGAATTTGCAGAAGCAGTCCTTAAACCGGAACCCCCCTCCCTTCCCATGAGACACAAAATAAGCTCAGGTGAAATCCCCAACAGCATGTGGCGCTCTTTTTTCGACCCTCGCAGAACCCTGCAAAGCCTTACCTCCAAACCCTTGCGAAACCCTGCAGAATCCTTGCCGCGGAGACTTACCTCAGAGCCGCCCCGGACTACCCCGATACCTCCCAAACCTCCAATGCATGCTTCTCCAGAACCTGGCTCGGGCCTCACACCAGAATCCCAGACCACCCGAAACCTTGCGCCTCTGCACCAGAGCACCGGACCGGCGAACCTTGCTTGAACCTGAGACACCTCCAGAACCTGGCATCTGGCCTGCACCAGACCACCCCGAAACCTCCGGAACCTCCCTTGAAGCTTTCACCTGGCCTGCACCAGACCACGAACCTTGCACCCGGCCTCCCCGGAACCTCCGAACCTTGCTCGAACCTGACTCCAAAGCTCCCCCGAGCCACCCCCAAACCTTATCTGGGCTGAGACCCCTTAGCTTTCAGCTGTGGGGGAAAAAGGCGACCCCCCAAACAGTAGACAGGAAACCCGGAACTCACTTCCTGAGAGAATTGGCCAAAACAAGTCTGAACTTCTTCTTGATGGACTTACTTCCACAGTCCAGGAACTCAGTTCCCATGAGAAAAACAACCCCCCAAAACACACACACACACACACACAAAAGGTGCCAAAAAAAAGGAAACCCCGGAAATCACGGCACCCCCAACAAAGCGGCGCCAAGGTGCTCCAGCGCCAGGCTACACTGCCACCACCCCGCCGGCACCACAAGCGTCTCCCCGGGCCTGAGATGGGAACCAGCTGCAAGTGAGGTGAGGCATGGGTGGCCTCTGTGTTCGAAGATCGGGCCCTCAAAATGGCGGGTGTCCTTCCGGGTGCTTTCCCCTGAAAACCAACCAAAAGGGGGTGAGCTCAACAAGCGACACGCCCATGCGCTGGAAAATAAGATGGGTGTGAGATTTGTGTTCACTGTCTACAATGGCGCGTGGCTGTAAATCAATAGGAAAAGGCACATGTCTTGTGAAGTTGACCAGTTTCAGCGGGGAAGCACCAACCAAAAGGGATTTAGAGGCTGCCACTGAACAAATGAGGTTTCAGAAATGGACAAGCACATGGTGGGATGTATGCAATTACCACCTGGTGCTTGGCGCTGCGGCCATGGAACAAACTACACCGCATAGATTCCGGTCACCACTTCACCCTTGCGCTTAAACTGGAATAACTCAAGGCTCCCCTACCTCGCGCCCATTGCACCCCAAGTCCGCCGCTCCAGAACCACCATGTGCGCGTGGCTCTCCAGCCTTGCGAGCAGCTAAGTTGACACTCCTGAAAATATGGGAACACGCCGATGCCGAACAACGCCTTTTCGTTGACGTCAGCCACTGGCTCGGTTAAGCATCTTTCAAGCATTTCTTATTTGAGTTTTGTGTGAGCGAACCAGATCACACAATTTGCGGACAATCTGAGCCACTGCCTTCAACCAATCATGTAATATCATATGTACTTGCTCAAAAAATCCTCTGACGACTTCAAACACATCTCTGACCCTCCCACAAGCAAGCAACATAACTTTTCCGAGAGAATCCGTCAAACCGGCGTTCCCAATTGGCCTGCCGCCGAAGAGTTCCACAAGACCTCACGGGAGGGGTCATCTTGCCGAGCAAACGGGCGGCAATCCCATCCAACCAGTTGGTGTCCTTTCAACATGACCCAAAGGCTCAGTGCACAGCAACTTGATACTTCAACGGTAATTCGAGCGTTGTCTGCAAATAGACATGTTGTCATCTCTCAATTTTCCGCATCAAAGAGAAGGAACTGCCCATAGTTCATGTTCTGAAAGCCTCGGGATAATGGCCCATCATGTTGCACCGCAGCTGGTAATATGAAATTCATCGTGAGCACCGAAACCGATCGCAACATAATATGGCCAAATTACGTGATCCGGGAACCACATAATTATAATGCATCATATGTTCTGAGGCTGTAACCAACAATCAGCCTACTATTTGATTGCTGAACGCTTCCAAGCAGGCTAGCCCAGCCGCCTGCCCAAGAGCCGATGTTCAAAACCAACAACCAAGCAGGAACTCTCTTCCAAACAGCCACCAAACATTGACGTTAAGAAAAGAGGAAATACTTTTGGAACCCCTTCACCACAACCGAACAAACATATTATGTTGGAAAAGCCCACAAATACTTTCCCGGGTTTCAGCCCCAAAACGAACGGGGCGGTTCGCACAACGTCTCAGAGCAGCGCTGGTCCAGCAGCGCGCTTCGCTGCCTGGCGCCTCACAAACTGGAGATCGGCACGCCAAATTAGGGGTTCGCGAGCGAAAAGACTGAGGCGATAGAGATATGAGGGAGATGGGTTTGGGCTGGTTGAGGCTTGGTGTCAGGTGGGTTTAGTGTGGGTTTAGGCTCTAAGGTCTGGGATTTAGGATTGTGGTTGTTGCTTTGTTGGGGTGGATCTCGGCAAGTGTCGTCGGTCTAGACTGGGACCGACCATTTGCACGTTCCCTCGCATGTTCGGATCCATGGCACATGCCAAGGTTCACCTGGGGTCAAAAGCCACGACCTGAATTCCACCGATGACGCCAGTTGAGGGCTTTTGCATGAAGGATCGGTGGGAACTTGCCACGCGGATCTCCCATGGGTGCCCCAAAGAAGCTGCCGGCTCCGAGGCTCCGAGGCTCCGAGGCGAGCACCGGCTCCGCGCGGTGCCCGCCCAGCTTCTCCGATTCCTGCCCAATTTTTTGTGCCGCTCGTGGGAAAGGCAAATGGATCTATCTCAAAATGGGAAAATCGTTTTGGACAGTCAGGAAATCAAACTTGAGCCGCCTTCCTCAAAGGGGCTCCTAATACTGGTATAGACCCACACAGGTTGACAGAACGGCGACCCTTTCGGAGGACTACCCTTGAAGGCGGTGTTCACCAGATTAGAGCAACAATCAGTATTCACATGCATACGTCAAGATGATGGCCAGGGCACACTGAACAATTGTTGGAACGTGCAAGTCACTCGCCAAATTCCAGTTGGGGACGTGATGAATACTGGCCGGGGCTCATGAGCCTTGAGGAGGTTGTTAATATCGGAAATTGTGTTCCCTATGACTATTGTTCAGCAGCTTCCATGCTGGGTGTCCGCAATGAGTCTCAAACAAACCTGCTCATATCATGACAAACGATAACCAGCATGCCGATTTCTATGACCAAAAGGCAATATCGATGGCAGTTCCTGTCCAGGAATCTGCGAGACACGCGAGGAAAACTTCATCTCACCCGACAAGTCGCTGCCCCTCCGCTGCGACCAAAAGGCGTCTTAACACTTGGGACCGGGTCCTGTGGTGCAAACATGGCGAACATGCGGCGGCCCTGGATCTGCGCGTGCCACACATGAGCCTCAGCAGCTCCAACGAGCTCGAGGACCCCTCTGACAACGGGCTGTCAAACGTTGGTGGCTATTGCCACCTTATTGACTTTTTGTTTGATTGTTTGGAACGCAAACATGTTCCCCCAACAAGTCAAGAGATCCAATCAAACAGCTGTCAAGAAATGGGATCTCAAGTGGCTTCATCTGGCAGCTTCCGGAGTGCCCCACGGCTTGGTCAAAACCTTGCTGGTACTGAGCATCCGGCCGAGCTGTCCTCCACATAGAGTCGCGTAATTGCCCCAGGTGGCCCAAACTGAAGCGTGTCCTCAGGGCTTTGCGCCTTTTGGACAATTCACTGATTGACAGGAATATGATCCATAGCCTGGGTTCAATGCCGGAGCCCTTGCAAAATACACGGCATATGTGGTGCACAGTGACGGGGTCCTGCAAGCCCAGTTCAGGGACGAACTGAAGGCCGACCTCAGCTGTACGCGCAAAGTAGTCTTGAAGGAGAAAACAGTACTGGATATGCCCAGCCAATGAGCAGAATCATCACAGCACACACAAAAGCGTTCAGAAGCTTGGTCCAACTGCAGCGTGACATGCTCAGGACGGCATGGTCCTGTTTTCAATGGTTTATGGGTTAAACAGGATCATTCTGGACAAACAACACCCCACGTACAGCACCAAATATTCATTCTTGAGAGCCAAAAGGACGGCTAGTTGCCCAGTGACTCTGGCAGGGGAAGAATCCGAACCCCTCTTGGGTTCGACCGCTTTTAGTGAGGAACAAACAAAGACAGCAACAAAAAACAAACTTTTGGTGAGGAACCCCACGGGCAAACAAGGAAAAGGGTCGAATCCAGACTCAGCTGGGGCGGCTCACAGCCAGGCAGGCCAGGTCGAACCACTTGGCGGAATGGTCCTGTGCCCGCGCGCAAAGAGCGTAAGGTCGTAGGCGCAAGAACAACTCCACCAATAGGTACCCGTAGGCACCCCACGGTGGTAGACTCACTGCAAAGTACCACTCGCAACAAACAACACTTGTTTTTGGTTAAGACGGACACAGAAAGAAACCCCAAAGAGGGAAACTGTTTAGCTCAGTCTGGCAATGTGCGATGGACAAGCCGCCGCGCAAGGCAAAGCTCGCCTTCAGCCCGGGCGGCGACCAAAGCTTGCGCCGCGCATTCAGGTCCTGAGGATGGGGAGCTGGACACAGCCCAGAGCCCGGGTTCCGTCAAGCCAATGCACACCGTGGACAAAACACCACATTGTTGAGAGGGGTCAAGCAAGGGAAAATTCACCAAGACCATGCCCGTGATTCCACAGAAATCGGGATCTGGTGGAACACAGATTATCTGGCCACAAGCAAACAGCATAGATGGACATTTGTAGGGAGGGAACAAGGGTGTACGCACCATATGCAATTTCTGCCATGGGCCGATCTTCTCCTTTGGGCCAATGGCGATGGCTTTCTGAGAAGGAAGCTTTGTAGTGGTTGCCCTTGGGCTTGATGACCGGGCCAGGCCTACGATCCCTACCAAAACAGCATCCAATTTGCTCATGTGCTCGTTGCTTCGCGCGGCTTACAAAACCGAGGTTCTGGGCAGCTATGCCGCCTCAGAATATGGAATCCGGCTACTGGCAACCACTAGCTAGCTACATGGAATCCCACCGCTCCGTGCTAGGTTTCTGGTAAAATCGGAAAGCCATGCCATGTGCGACTCATCCCCCGTCGCACGCCCCTCGAGCGCTCGCTATGTTTCCCTGTCGACAGCCCCGAGCGCTACATGTCCTGCTCAAAGAGCCGTCGGGCCTTCGGCACGGAGCCAAAAGGACACCTGGCGCAAGAGGCGGCAAAACCGAGGACCATCTGCGCGAAACACGGCGGATCTCAACACAGCTTTGAGCAACATGTTGCGAAAAAGGGAACAGGTGCTTGAGTTGGGCTGGGGTCTTCGACACTTGCTGGATCTGGCTTCTATGGCCCCGAATGCTCTTTGACGCAGTTGTCACGCGAAAGTCGCAACTCGCCTGCTGTCAACTGCACATTCTGCTGTTATTGAAGAACCAGTTTTAAAGGAAACGGAAAGAACTGACGCTTGCCAATATTCTGTTGAAAGACTTTGGCGCAGGCTGTCAGATTACTGACAATGTGTCAGGCGTGCCAGCTGACGATGTGCCGAGGGTAGGCCAGGTAGTTGTCCTGTCAGACAGGCTCCCTCTGCACAAGTCTCCATTGCCATCTGTCGAAGGTGTCAGAACATGCTACGGAATCCATCGACCAACGTTGACGCAAGGGGGCAAAGGGGTTACTGAAGCTACCAGCTGCAGCTCTTATGCCACATATGCCAGGCACACGACACTCGCCGTCCTCTTTGCACTGAGGATCCATGTCTTGCAAGGTGCTGATGTATTTGCTCAGCTCATCCAGCCTCGCCTGGCGCCACGCTCAGTGCTCGGCGCGCATGGCTCAGGAAAATCGAGTCTCACGTGCTCAGGAAAGCACCACGCTACCTTCGGAGGGAAATTTCAATTGAGAATGCGGGGGAACACTCCCTCAAGACTCCGCTCTTTGCCGTCACAGGGGCATTTCTGACCAACATTTCGCTGCACACTTTCAATCTTGAGGTTCGGCCACCTTCTAAGACCTCCCCGCCTTTGCTGTTTGGGGAGCACTATGCTGGGCTGTGCCCAAAACGTCCCCTTCCCAACCCTAAGGATCGCCGGACATGTGAAAGTTGCAACAATCTGAACCCCAGCTCCGCCAATTCGCTTTCTGCGGGACGGGATCGAGTTTCTTTTGGGGCGCCAGGCTTTCCCACCCAGAGCCCATCGCGCCCTCACCGGCCGCTCAGAGCTGGTGCCCGGGCCTCGGCACCGGAAGGGGTGGGTTCCAAGGGAAATTGAAGGACACCCAGCGAGTTTTTTCGGGGGGGGTCCCTTTCTTGGGCCACATGCAAATGTGTCCTTCGCTGCTCTGTGCAAGGGAAGGCCCTACAAAGGGAAAACACCAAGACACAAGTCAACTAGCTGGTAAATTGGAGGAATTCGCAGAACTCATCTGTGCCTTGCCATGGTAATATCTCCTAGTGCACGCAACACCTGCCGGCGCACGGTCGTTGATACATGTGGATACCTTAATCGGAATCCTTATGGTTGTCTAAATTACCTATTGACGTGTCGACCATCCATACCAACAAGTAAAAAGCTGGTTTGACTAAGGCGCATGTGGATAATCTGCTATGGCTGGTGGCCTGTTCTAGTCTAGCGAAGAAATCAGGACTTGTTGGCGCAACTGTGCCACACACACACACATGCTTCGAACAAGCTCCCAACCAAATCGCGCTGAACACTAGCTGTTTGCTCCTGGGCAATGAGATTTCAGGGGCTAGGCTGAAAGTGTCATAGGAAGTGATCGCCAACTCACGGAATGCAAAGTGTTGTTTCTCCAAACCACGCGCTCCCAAACAACGAATTGAGGGATGCACACCCGCGGGAAAGAGCTCTTCCCGTAAGGCTGACACCTAGAGAAGGGATCATTTGTGCTGCATCCTTGATCGTGCCTTGGAAAACACCTTCATGCGAGCTGGACAGCTTTGCGCACTACTGGTCAAACTCGCGAATCACCAAGAAAAGTCCGCGCCAATGAACAGCCTCGTTTTGTGCCTTCTAGTTGCTGACAGCATTGTGTTCGGCATAGCTCCTGTTTGAATGGCTTTATCTTCTGACCCAACACTTGTGGTTTTAGTGCTACGTGGGCAAGCGCATCGGTACACAGGAGCTTGCCGCATGGCAAAACTTGTCTTTACCAACATTGCTATCCGTCCGCATATTTTCCACCTAAGCATTGCAGCATTTAGGGGGAAACTCTTTGGCCATGCTTCCCTTCAAGGTTGATAGGACCATACTCATCAGGCCTGGTCCCCCTTCAGTGGGGAACTAATTCATTCCAAATCAATCCGAAGTTCATTTTGCAAGGACCCCCACTCCGTTTTCCGATCCACTTCATCACTCCATCTGAGGGACCAGCTGGGCGGGTACTCGCGGAAGCAATTGCAAGCCGCCTCCCCACACTCATAGCTCCAGAATGCGAGGCCCCAACTCCTGGCGCCCATGTCATGGTGACAAAGGTCTTGTCCCAGGTGTTCTTTTGGATGCATAGATTGCGCTGGCGGATGATTACAACCAAACTGAAAGCCAGTGCCACCCATGTTTCACCAACGTGACCGAGGACACCTATGCTATTTATGTTGGCTCTGGCTATGGCTTCTTTGCTAGGACCCCTTACAAGGATAGTTCAGGATGTCTCCGGTTTCAGCAAGCGGCAACGGGCTTATTCAGGTGGCAGCTGACAGGGAAACCAAAGGCATGTCACGGAGTCAAGCAGTGTGTGTGTGTGTGTGTGTGTGTGTGTGTGTGTGTGTGTGTGTGTGTGTGTGTGTGTGTGTGTGTGTGTGTGTGTGTGTGTTTGTGTTTGTTTGTTTGTTTGTTTGTTTGTTTGTTTGTTCGATTGTGTGTGTGTGTGTGTGTGTTTGTGTTGGTGTTGGTGTCTGTGTCTGTGTTTGTGTTTGTGTGTGTGTGTGCGTGTGTGCTAGAATTAACAAGGTTTGGCATGAGGCCCAACACATCCCACCAAAAACCCAAGGCTTGGACAATAAGAACTCAGCTATGCAAGCAAGTTTCGGATATCCGGTGCTTCTGCGCGCCCAATTCTAGCTTGACTCCTAGCCTCCACGCTAACATTCAATTGCGAAGTACCCATCCAAGCCTTGCAAGTCGGCTTCTCTTCCACATCAAACTAGCTTTGGAGGGTCGCTCTAAGTCTAGTGGATAGCTCGACGTTGCATGATACGATGAGATTGAAAAAAGGTGAGACAGCGTCGCGTCTGTCCTCATCTTCCAACCACGTTGCTTTTCAACGCCTCGCGGCCCAAATTGCTCGTTTTGCCGGGAGCCCCCACCCAGTTGCCCAGCGGCAACCTCACAGAAAAGACTTGGAAGCCTTTGCAGGGTTGATTCCGCTTTTAGTGTGTCCCGAACTTGCCAAACAAAACGGGACTTGATCGATTTGGAAGGGAATCCACTAAACAACTGATCTCATTCCTCCACATCCAACCGCTCTGCCTGAGCCCTGAACTGAACCTACTGCCCAAGAGGTCGCGGCGCACAGGCAGGCAGGAACATGCCCAGCATACACATCAAGTGTCTATGCTTGCACCACCCAACAACTTGTCACCTAAGTGAGTGTGTCATTTTCGGAGTTGGTACCCGCTTCTCGCTTCTTGTTAAAGTGAAGGGAAGCATGGAGAACCCACCGAAGTGTCGTCATCCGGTGAGAATGGCATCTAATTGCACCTGTACGTTGTACGTTGCTTTTGTCGGGTTCCCGTTCACAAAGCTTCTGCAACTCTGCCGACTGGGGCCCGTGCAAATGGGCGACTTGAGCTGCTCCGTTATCCGCTTCACCCTTGGCACCTGCGTCACCTGCGCCCGCCCAAAGAGTCCAGGGTTCAGGAAATGGACGCGACCAAGCCCCAACCAGAAGCCTTGGGCCATTGAGGTCGAGCCTTCTTTGCCAGCGGGAAATCGACAACCAAAGGAGTCACACGAAAAGCCGCGGCAAGGCCGTGCCTCTGCAACAGGTAAGGCACCTGAGCGAAAACCGTTTCGAGTGTTTTTTGTTCATGGTGACATTTGTTGCAACATGCAAGAAAGACACCAGCCCCTCCTCACCGCGATCAAGTGTCCAAACATGTTTGGATGCAAACACCCATAGTGCGTCTGCAAATACTGTAGAGGAACCAGGGTGCCTAACAGGTCATTGCCTCCTGGCTGCCAGTTTCATGGTGCCACGATGCCACGTGCCTGCTTTTTTCAATCTGAATTGGACAGTTTCCGGTGACAAAACATGATGAGCTTTGCTCTCCAAATGTGAGTTCAATACTAGACAAAGTAATCTGGGCCTGGTTGAAAAAGGAGTGTTGCTGCATTGACGCAACGAAGCTTCTTTCCAAGAAACGCATCGGCAGCCAACCTATTGTGCTGAAGCTCGCTAATAATCACAAATAGGGCAACATGCCCGTTCCATACCTGACTGCGCCTCTTGGCCTCCTGGTAGTTGTAGTTAGAATTTGCAAGTCCCCTGTGTACATGGCTTGACATGTATTCTTGGTTGTCCCCTGGATGGCCATCATCATCCCTGGTTGGATTTGTGCAATACCCCATTTTTTGCGGGTGTCCCACCCACTCAATGGCCAGCTTGACCACGCACGCATGCGGTTTTGCCATGCAGCATGGTTCGCACTGCTCCAGGAGGTGGCGGCAGAAGGCGCGATACTCCGCGGGAGCAGAGGTGACGCCATCTGCGGCCAGCTGCATACGGAGCTCCTGGAAGGATCTCACCCGCAAGCCAACCCTCGGGCGCTCACTTCCGACGGAGTGGATGGCCGAAAAAAGTAGCCCCTTTTTGTTTAAACCTTTAGACTAAAATGGTCTTCCAAAAAAGAAATGGTCCAAACCCAAAAAAGCGACTAAAGTCCAGAAACTCAGGAAGTGAGTGGGCGTTTCTCAAAACTATTGGATGTGGGTTTCTTCAACAAGTCATCTTGACAATGGCATCACATGAGTATGTGAGACGCCAACTGCAAAAGATGCGGAGGAAGTCGTGGCTGTCGTCTCTGCTCAAGAGTCAAGAGTGTTTCGCACGCACTCGTGCGCTACAAGATGCACTAACACCGAAATGCACACATACAGTAGCTACCCTGTCCAGCCACGTACTTCACCTCACGTAGCCCAAAACATTCAACCGGCCAACAACAAACTCAAACTGCTCGCTACGACGAAACCATTTTGCATAGCAGCCTCTTGCGTTTCACTTGTTAGTTTCCCTTGATTGCAGTGGGACTAAAACGAGGGAACATAATTGCGGTTGGGAAACACTTGTTGTGCTTCCTCACCATGCGGTTAGGCAGATTAATCACAAGCATTAGGAAGCTCGGCAAGCCGTCAAGCAATTCATGTCAAACAATCAAACGCTTTCATGGCAACCCATCTCCAGAACAGCAATTGATTTCAAATCGCCACCCTTCATGAAGCTGCATGTTTTTGCCGCAATTTGGCTGGCATCATGGTGAGCGCACTGCAAAGACACACATTGGGTTTTCCGGCACAACATTTTCTCAAGTCCAGGGCCAGCTGTTATCTCAATGATGTCAAATAGGCGCAGCTCATACCCAACAACCCAATGACCCACTGACCCAACGACACGACCCAATGACCTGACACAACCCCGGGCAACCCAAGAACCACACCACCAAACAAGGACCCAGTGACCTCAACGCAACGCGCTGCAAGGCCACCGAACTCCCGTTTTCACCGAGGGGCCGCGAGCAAGGGGCTGGCGCGGCTCGTAAGCTGCATTTCTTTGGCCAACTCCTTCGGTGGGAGGGCGTGGGTGGGTGGGAGGGGCCACTATATAGCCACCATAAAAAGAGTACGTCTTTTGTATTTGGTATATCCGGCTTTCCCCTGAAAGTTTGGGGGAACATAGCAATCGGTTCAGTGTATAGCCACGAGGAAAGGGGAATGTGTCCCGTTTTCCCATGGGAGTAGTGTAGCGGTTGGGAGAGGCACAAACATGTCCGCAAAGGAATCGCTATTGAGGAGGATCTACTTGTGGGCTGCCATGCAAGTCTTCACGGGAGTGACCTGGGGAGTGCCTCATGGTCTTGCCCCGACCCTGCTTGTACCCCATCACGCATCAACTACCGGTCGCATCTTACATACGCTTGATCAACCCAGTTGACTCCTGAGCTATACGAGAGCAACATGTTTTCCTTGGACAAATCGGGCCTGGTTCTTGTAGGACATCGGTTACCGGTCTCCGTTCTCATGTTGTTGCCAAGTTGGCAACGCTTACTCGCCCACAACAATGCGCTCGTTCGAACTCACCCTGTGCTGCCAGCAGAGGGGGCCCTACCATGTTAAGAGATGTTATTCCACATTTGTTTCGGCCTTTGGTTCTCTTTAACAACCATTTATCCTCCTTGGTGGCTGTCCCATTCTTCCAAAGCAAAGGGACCCCTGAAAAGGGTCGACAAACTTTTGAATTGCAGTTATTCCAAACAACCCGCATAGAGAAACCCAAGCAAGCCGAAAAATGTTGCAACTCACGAGGCCATACAGAGCCAACCCCTGGCAGGGAAGCGTTAACCAGCCTCAGTATGGCCATATTCGGGCCATGCTTGGTGACTCAAGGGGGACAGGTCCATTCATAGAATCATATAGAATCCATAGGATCCAACCCCCTTCTCCCAACCTCACCCTTTCCCAAAACAACACCTTCGCAATGACTTCGGCTCTTGGTTTGAGCGAAGGCGGGTTGGGAAGGGCGGAAGCTTCGGAAACTGTCTCCTCCTCCGTGTGCGGCGGCGGCTCCAGGCGCGGCCGGAAGGCCCCGTCGCTACCTCAGTGGAGGCTCGGACTCGAAGTTAGGTGACTCCCCACACCAAGGACTCATCTCACCTCAGGTTGAGACACAGGCAACCCTTGGTTTGGATTGGTGACTTGGGGATTTGAACTTTTGGGTTCTGGTGTGGAACACCTCCAAACCACCAAACAAAAGCGAAGCTGGCCTAAGGTTCCTAAAATCACACACAAGGAGGTTGAGAATGGGGTTGGTGGTTCATGCGGTTTGGAGAAACAAAGGAGCTGGGGGTTCAAATTTCCGCGCCACTCCAAACCACCAACCACCAATTGAGAGAAAGGTGAGGAAACATCCGCCAAACTCAGCTTTCAAGCAAAAACCATTGGAGCCATTCAATCAGCGGCAGCTGAAGCATCCGAGGTCCGCTTGCATCCGCTCCCGACCGCTGGCCGAAGGCCGCTGACCGCTGGTCTAAGGCCGGGGCCGAAATAGAGCTCGAAGTCTTGCCGGGTCCAGCGCTTGCAGGCTTCCGCCGGCGGGCTCGCCGCGCGGCTCTGGAATCTGGACCGCAGCTTCTCCAGGTATTCCTCAGCACCGAGAGTCTCGGTGCCTCCAAAGCTGGGGTGACCAAAGGCGCAAAGAAACCGAGGGAAACGGGATCCTCGGAAGAACCAAAGGAAAGGTCCTAGGAAGGTCTTCCAAGGGCTGGTGTCAAATGAAGGATCAACGAAAGGGTCCTGGAAGAAGGCATTCCTCGCCAAAAAAATATGAGCTTGAAGGTATGGAACACCCTCTAACATGTTTGGTGGAAACACATTCCAAATGAACATGATGTCGGTTCCAAGTAAACGTCATACAGTCATACCAAACTCACAGCTGAGGCTTCAGTCAAGGGTCGCGCGATAGAAGATTTACGGGCTGTTAAGGGTGTTCCTGAAACGGACACTCGTGACTTCCCAGAAGTTACCACCAAAATACCACAGTCTGAAAAGAACGCACCAGTCATGGCATTCACTTTGACTGCAAAGAAGGAAGCTCCCAGGTTCTGGAAATTGGTTGCGTGGGAGCCAAGCAAAGCAGAAGGATACCCGTCTACCCCAGCAGACCTCCAATGGCCTGGGGTAACAAAAGGGCACTTCTTTTGTAGCTTAATTTGGTAGTTCCCCAGATAGCTGAAAGCTATAGGGGTTCTAACTTCTAACAAAGAGGGCGAAGTGATTTGCGAGATTGATGGGCTGGTGCTAAGGGGCGTGCAGTTTGGTGCTGGTTTTTGCAGATTGGGGTGCTGTTTGAGGGCGCATCTTTTCAAGATTGACGGTAGGGTATGCAGTTTGGGGGTGCTGGTGCAGGTGCTGTTTTCGGGGTGACGGTGTTTTTGCATCTTGACGGTAGGGTGCACGGGGGCATGCAGTTTGGGGTGCTGGTGCTGGTGGTGTTTTGGGATGCTGTTTGGGGAGCTGTTTGAGGTGCTGGTGACGGTGCGGGCGCAATTTGCGATATTGACACCCGGGTGCTTTCGGGCATGCAGGTGACAGTGCAGGCACTAGGGTGCAAGGGGGCATACAGCTTGGGGTGCTGGTGCAGGTGGCATTTTGGGATGCTGTTTGGGGTGCGGCTGGGTGTTTGGGGGGTGCTGTTTGGGGTACTCTTAGGGTGACGGTGCAGGCGCATTTTTGCGAGATTGACGGCAGGGTGCAGGGGGCATGCAGTTTGGGGTGCTGCTGCAGGTGCTGTTTTGGGATGCTGTTTGGGGTGCTGTTGGAGGTGCTAGTGATGGCGCGGGTGCTCGATTGACGGCCGGGTGCTGTTTGGGCCGCTCTTTGGGGGGGCTGTTGGAGGTGCTGGTGTGCAATCATTGCTATCTGCGGTCTATGCTGGTGTAATTGTTGTTTGTTTAAAGGAACAAACCCTTCCACAGGAGGGAACTCAGGGTAACACTATTTCACTAGGCGTAAGGGTGGACAAGCTGATCCGAGCTTCCTTGTTGGGCGCCCTGTCTCGCGTCCGCAGCGGCCCCGGCGCACCCCGCACGGCTTTGGTGCCCTTGGACGGCACCAGCCGGGCCTCCTCCAGTAGCCGTGAGGCCGGGGCATCGTCCGACCACGCCGACAGCACCTGAGATGCGAGGGGGGCTATGCTAATGGCTCTTAGTGACCAGTAAGTACGATCAAAGGCTACGATGCGGCTCTGACCTTCATGGCTCCCCTGCTCTGACGTTGGTTGTGCACCCCTGTGGTGATATTTAAGGTTTCACAGAAATCGGACCCCAAACCTTGCCTGGTGGTGCCCCATAGGAAAAAGCCAAGCGGTGGGAAATGTGAGGGTTCCAGTTCTTGGTCTGGCAAAAAGCCGAAAGGTACAGATTTGCTTCCCTTTCTGCTTGGCGAGTTCTGTGGCCCTGTTTCTTCAGCACATCCGTATGATTAACCCATGTGAAGTCAGCGTAAGTTCTGGGGGAACACTCTTTTTTGTCGCCTTCAACCTGTAGTGATGCACCAACAGGAAAAGAAACAAACATAAACATACAGCAGTGCCACAGCCAGGGCACTGCCAGGAACCCGTCCTCCTTTGGTGGCACTGGCTCAGCTGTTTTCGCTGGCTCAGCTTGCACAGGCTCCGGCGGTTGGGGAGCCGCAACTGGCACCAAGGCGTGTTCGCCCTCTCCGGCTTCCTTCGCTTCGCCCTCTTCTCCCTCCTTGTCCGGGGTGGGAAGACTCCAAGCTGGGAGGAACTTGGCGCAAACATGCACAACCCCCCACTTGAATTTTGATCGGGGCTTTGGCTGAGGCCGGGAGTTCCTCAGAAGTGACCCTCACTTTCCACAACTCACTTCCTGAGTCAAATTTTCCACCTCACTTTTCCAAACCGGCTGGGTTTTTTTCCTGCACGCGTTGAGCCCTTCAGCCCAGCTCCGCAGTCAATCCCTGACACCCCCCCTCCTCCTCCTCCTCCGCTTCCGGGATGGGCGCCTGAGCTCGTGGCAGCTCGGCTGCCGGCCCCAGCTCCACCTGGCAGCCGTGCGCTTTGAAGAGCCGGGATACAACCACCCCTTCGTGACTTTAGATCTGAAAAAGGGAGCTTTCTTCCAGAAACCCTAAACTCATTTCTTATCGTTTACCCCTACAATCTTGACTAACTTTGGCTTTCAGAGACCCCACGACCCTATTCTACTTGGGTTCTCATGTATCATCACCCCCTTTTGGATCCCTGAACCCGCCTCCAGGTCTTCCACGTCCCCACTCTCAGCAGCCACGTGCACCGCCGAGTACCACAAACTCAGCAGGCGATGATCCTGGCGCGTGCACCGTTGAGCGGCGCTTCGAGGGAAGCGCAAAGCGCCAGCTTTTCCGCTGGAATAATTATTTCCCGAGTTTTGTAGTGCCCTTCTTTTGGTCTCTGGCTTGTCCTTGCAAGCGGCTGCTTACAGAAAGGGCATGCTGTGATATGCTGTGAAGCAAAGTTCAACGGTGTGATGCAGATTCTAGCAAGCCTTGCACACTTGCTTGAGGATATCATGCACGGTCTGCCCTTCCTTATCGCACAACTTCCAGGTAGCCTCATTCAGAAGAAACATGCAATGGTGTGCTGCCTTAGCTAACTGCCTTGTCCTTGTCAGCACCCACCTTTAACAAGCACTTCAGAAGAAACATGCAATGGTGTGCTGCCTTGGCTGTCTGCCTTGTCCTTGTCAGCACCCACCTCCAACAAGCACCGCACAACTTCCAGGTGGCCGCGTTCAGAAGCAACGTGCAATGGTGTGCTGCCTTGGCTGTCTGCCTTGTCCTTGTCAGCACCCACCTCGAACAAGCACCGCACAACTTCCAGGTGGCCGCGTTCAGAAGCGACATACAATGGTGTGCTGCCTTGGCTGTCTGCCTTGTCCTTGTCAGCACCCACCTCCAACAAGCACCGCACAACTTCCAGGTGGCCGCGCCTAGAAGCAACATGCAATGGTGAGCTGCCTTGGCTGTCTGCCTCGTCCCGGTCAGCACCCACCTCCAACAAGCAACTTCCAGGTGGCCGCGTTCAGAAGCGACATGCAATGGTGTGCGCCCAGAGTTGTCTGCCTTGTCCTTGTCAGCACCCACCTCCAACAAGTAGGTGGCCGCGTTCAGAAGAAACATGCAATGGTGTGCTGCCTTGGATGTCTGCCTTGTCCTTGTCAGCACCCACCTCCAACAAGCATCGCACAACTTCCAGGTGGCCGCGTTCAGAAGAAACATGCAATGGTGTAGCACCACGGCTCTCTTCTTTGTCCTTGTCAGCACCCACCTCCAACAAGCACCGCACAATTGCCATTTTTAGAAGAACCATGCAACGGTGTGAAAAGGAGGTCCCTTCCGGCGGCATTGGGATCATGAGGTTCCTCCAGCAGGTCTACCACAACTAGTGCGTTGCCTCTTTCAGCCGCTTGCAGCAAATCACTGGTGGCTGTGGCGTATGGCCGTACAACTGCCGTCAGGGACTCAGTCTCCTCCCAAAGACTCTCAGGCCCCAAAGATTCCAGGCCACTGACCCACGCAAGCTGCCGGAAATTTTCTATCGACAATTGCTTGGCCAAGTGGCGTCGCAGCGCATCAAACAAGCACCCGCTGGCTTCATGTGTCTGTAGCTCGTCCCACCACACGGAGAACCCTGTCGCTGTTATCACTTCCCTGCCATCAAGCAATCGAACACACACCATGTTTTGACGCTGCCCTCGAGCCGCACTTGCTCTCGCCAGGTGAAGGAGCGGCCTCTCATCCATGAAAATACTCGAACACGAAAGCGAGGGTGCAATGAGATTAAATCACAGGAAAACGAAGGCATAGGCATGCTTCACCCTCATTGGATGCGCTCAGACTCACATCGTTCCGAAACATGAACTCTTTCTTCCCATAAATCCTTCTGTTTCTGAGTGTGGCCGAACACCTCATATTTTGGCGGGCTTGGACAAGGAGGATGGGCTTGAGAAGGTGGGGGATATATCTTTAAAGTGGTCCCAAAACAAGGTCAAGCATCTGGAGACATCTTGGTTGCATGCATCATAGGACCACCTGGTTCTTCAAGTCCACACACTTCGAATTCACAGTTTTCCAAAGAGTAAGTACTCTGAAGTCTCGGCACATTGGCAAATGTGCATCTGTACTCGCAGAGTGGCCAGTTGTTGAAAAGCCCAAGGGCCAACAAAACGGACCCATGACCCAACTCTCTTGCCTTGTGCTTCTGGCAACAACCGCTCCTGCAGCGTTGGTGTTGGCTCCCTCTGCGTCTCCGGCTTCTCCTGCTGCGCCTGAGGGATCGGTATGGACCAGGGCCAAAAGCACGATTTGCGGTTGGAATCAAAAGCTGAGGTAAAGGAGAAGGAAAACTCGGTTGCTTTCTGCTCCCCTGCTAAAAGGTTAGCTTTTAGTGGTTTATTGGAAAACCCATTAGTTGGCAAAAAGTTAAAGTCCTAACATCCAAGCAAAATGCACCTCTGCAAAACTAACGGCTCTGCCCCTGGGGTTTGTGGTTGGAATTGGTGCGCCCACAATGACCCTCCCAAATCAGCCATGGAGTACTGAATATGGACACCTAAACATGCAAACAATGGTTTCAATCAAGATCCCAGTTTGCTCACAGAGCACTGGACACCAATGGCAGTCCCACATTTTGAGATAATGTCAACCCAGGATTGGTACACCCCTATTTATCCTCCATACTAGCAGGGCTTGTATTAATCCGAGGTGCACATTGGACCCATACTGTGGAAAGGAATCCATGGGAATCCATGGTATTTACAGGGGAATCATCCTTCCAGGCTTTCTTAGGTGGTTTGAAATGGATTTCGTCCATCCACCGTATTATACACACACACAGGCACACTGCGTACTTAAACCCACCTGCAGTGCTCGGATGGAGCTGCCGCAAGCCCAGGAGTAAGCCTCCAAATCCATGACAGCCAGTGCCAGTGGCTCCACGGATCCCTTGCGTCCCGGTGGCTGGCGCCGAACAAAAACCGGAGCCGGAGGCTGGCATTTGCTTGGGGTACTGGTTTGGAGCACCTGGACAATGTGGAAGAAATGAACAATTGGATGGAGCGAAGGCCACTTGTTTTGAAGGCAAAACAAAACAAAACGTCTTGTTTGGCTCGAGAGTTGTGAGTGAAGGGCTCTTTGGCCTTATTCAACTTGCGACTTCTGCGGTGGCTGAAAATTGGCTAATTGGCTGGCAAACTCGATCTGAAAGGGTAAAGGTCCGCATGAAGCTGTTATTTGCATGCACCCATAAAGTCAAACAACACTAGTTCTCGTAAAAGGCATGGTCTTTTAGTTACGTTTGACACCCCAGTGTTCCAGGCAACAGGTGGCGGGTCCGTTTCCCAGCAAAAAACACAGGCGTGGGCTTTTGGAAGTTTGCGTTGCTGGTAGGATACATGGGCCATGTCGCTTGCTGAGCCGCATGCGAAGACAAAACTCGAACTGCTACCACTCTGCAAGGACTGGAACAGGTTTAGTTGCTGGGAGAAGCCTGAAGCAGACCAGGGGGAAAATGACGCCGACAAAAGTCAGACCAAACCCTCTCTCTTTGCCTCTTTGAAAGAGAGGGTGTTGTTTCCCCCAGAGGAATCAAGTGGCGAAGCCCAATTCACACCTTAACTTGGTACTTGATGTCCTGACGGAGTCACGGCGCGCCTTGAACGGCTATTTCGTGATGCGACACAACCGTTGCATCAGCCTATGGCTGTGTGTTTTTCAGGGTGCAACCTTTTAGGGTGGTTTTAAAGGGACACCACAGGGAAAGCCAGCACGTTGTCGGGGGAGCTCCCCTATTTGGACAGAAAACCTGTAAAAACAACCGCGTATCTGTTGTCCCATCCTCATGGCTCGGCAAGATCTGCTCCATCCCAAATCCCTGGTTGAAACATTCGAGCTGGGCTCAGCGGCCTTCTCTTTCGATTTCTCACGTCTTTTACACATCTTTACCCCTGGAGCTGAGTCTTTGGGTCTGTGTGGGAACTCCAAAAAGTTAGGATTGGTGCTGCGGCGCAGGCATGGTCGACTTGGACCCAATGGTTGCAAGAATCGCGAGGCTTCGCCAAGCCAACAGCCAGCCTGAGGGCGGCATCAAGTGCAGGATGTGCCTCCATTGGGTGGAAATGACCTTGAACAGTGTTCAGCACAAAAGACCATGCCACTGCGCGAGGGCCGAAAAACCACCCTTTCAGGGTACACCGCGGTTCGCGGAAGAGTCTATACACGGGGAGAGCGTGCTCGAGCACAGGTACTCTGAGGCTGTGTCACCAGGTACGCACTGCCTCGCATGCTGAATTAACCGGCAAACCCCTGGCCACTTCGCTGCTGTTGGCTGTTGACCCCTCTGCAAAAAGTTTAACTTTTGTGGGGTTTAGTGGAAAACCCCTTCATTTCCCGAAAAGTGAAAGTCTAAAGATCCAACCCAATAGCAGTCAAGGCCAGGGCAAGGCAATCAAGGCTTGCCTTATGACCTCAGGTGCAGTCTTCAGCAAATCGGTTTGAGATAAAGCAAGCCTTGCCGGAAAATGGCTGCCTCCCAGCTCTCAAATGCTGAGGCTGGGTGACATGTCTACTTCTGCGCCACGTTTGTGAACAGGCCCCTCTCACAAAGCTAGGTCGTCTCACATGCTGGTTATGTCCTTTGCTCGATGTTGAACTACCGCCAAGTAGATTGCTCCATGTGTACATCATAGCTCGTGCTTTGACCCGTCCATGTGCTTGTTTGCTCCGTTAAATTTCCATCAGCGCAGCCGATACCTGCTCAATTGCTCGTCTTCGAAAGCCAACCAGCTGCTGTGGGGACGTTGATCAATGTAAACATCTTGAATTCACAATTAATCGTTGAAAAACAACCACTCTGAGTCTGGTGTTCTGCAGGCTTCTCACTGCATTGCTTATTGCTTGCATGCTATGAACATGGAGGGAACTGGTGGCTACTCACTCTCGTGACGATGTTGCGTCAGAACAGAGCCGCAGGAAGAACAGTGAGCGACTCATAGACTCATCGCCTCAGTACGTGTCTGCACAGTTCCAGAGGATTCTCTGCTTTATGCGAAACTCTCTGAAGTTAGGTATGTGTGAGACAAACTGGCGGTGTTCCTTTTGGTCTCCCCTTGAACTAACTTTCAAAAGGGAATGTCGGAAACACACGCGCACAAACGCACACTCACACCACATAGCACACACACAAACATATGCCCGGACTGCTCTCTCAAGAAATCCTTGCTTGGCCAAAAGTCAAGCTTCGGGTTCCTGCTTGGGTTGGCCAGCCCGCCGCGCTTATCGGTTCTGAAGCCCTTGCCCGGCATGGCTTCCCGGAGGAACTTCTGAAGCTGTTTGTCCAGCTTGCATTCGACTGATGCCTTTTTCATGGATCTCGTTCTAAGGGACACGGGGCTTTGGTCGTTCTCGCGTTGTCACCCGACCCCATGCTCTCCAAGCGGCACGCCCTGGATCAGTACAGGCTGGCCTAAGGTGCCCGTGCAAAATCCGGCGGGGGGGGGACCTCCAAGGGATACATGCCTATCAACAAAGGGACATCAAACCACTAAGTATCCTGGCCTTCAGATTGAGAATCCAAGAGCTGTCCAAACAGTCAGGATATACAACGTGGCCCAAAGCCGGTCACTGTCAAGCCACTGCCTTGTGCCCTTGCAACATTCGGCAAACATATGCCCAACTACCATGCATGCAGTCCTTACACAAGCTGGTTCTTTGTCAAAGAAAAGCATAGAAAAGCAGTTGAACACCAGAAACCAGCCACTGCCGTGGTCCACTTTTTTCGGACCCACACTTTGTTTTTTCTGTTCGGAAACACACCTCTTTGCGAATCACCCCATGTTGCCGGGGCACGATCAAACCACGCAGGGCAGATGCTGTCTGCATCTGATCCGACTCCTCGCCTAGGACGGACTGATAATCTCGCTGATCCGACTCCTCGGACTTCTTAACGACCGTTGGGCCCAACTTTGCATTGCCATCCCTTTGATCCTTGTCAAGCCTGTGGGCCCCATTTGGGACTTGGGTCCAAAGACTTCACGCTGCCTGGTGAGGGGGAAAACAGATCATGTTGGCGGTGCCCGACATGCACAACCGGCCCATACCCGACTTCGGGTTCGCCATCTTGGGGCCTAATTGACACCGGCCGCCACTACAATCCCCTGCTTGGAAAGCAGAACCCTCTTCGAAACCGACCAACTGCTTTTTTTTCTCGCGCTGGAGTGCTTTCCTCACTTCTTGTGGGCAATGGCATTATGTTTCGAAGATCAACCCCCAGCACAATTAGTAAGGCTCTTGAAAAGAATGCAACAAAAAACACACCTTGCCCATTTAGGTCTGATTTGACCCTGGACAAGGCTGCCCCACAAGGGCAAAGCTTTCGCCAGAAAGCATTTAGCCCCTTGATCCCTTCGCTGGCAGATTTCTAGCAGGCAAAATTCTGCGAGAACCGCTCTGTCAAACGACGGGTACATAGTGTTTGGCGAGCCCTTTTAAGGGGATTCCGGAAAGAACAACACGCGGTAGATTCACGAACACGCCAATAAAAGCTGCTCTTCCCCAACCAGTCTTCACGGCACAGGTGAGTCATGGTCGAACATCGCCCGCTCAAGATTTGGGCGAAGATGTGCATCCGTGATGTTGGACTCCAATGGCCCGGATCTGAAGCAATCCAGTGAGTCCCAAAATCTTTGGGTAGCATTAGACATGGTCATCCATAGTTCCGCAGGCAATCCTCACTATAGTCATGTTACGAATCGATGCTCATCCCTAGCTTCATGCCCACAAACGTTGCTAGTGGCAAATAGAGCATTCATGTTAAATACGCAACAGCCTCTTGTGCTTTGTCCAAGACATGTGGTTTCCATGTCTTACCAATCAGCCCGGTTTGTTACAATCCAACTTTCCGCACACAGTGCCCGTTTGACTCCATTTCGAGCAACTATCCAAAGGGCGGCAAGACCCGAAGAGACCACACATATGAAGAGAAACTGAGATAATACCACGGTGGTCCCCGGATTTGAGACACACAACGTGGGTTTCTTACAATTGCAGGGCCTGGAAACCCACCATTTTCGTGGCCTATCGGAAGGATCGGAAGGTCGATTTGCCATTCGCCATGGACATCCCCCGTGTTTCATCAGTCGCTGGGAGCTGCTTTGCTTACATCCCAGGTTCAGGCACAACGGGAGTGTTTCTCAAAACAGGATACTTTACTTGCGGATGGCTTTACGACGAAACCAACAGGAAGCCTAACATCTTTTTGGGTGGCCTACTTGAGAAACATACAAAAGAAGGGGTCCCTTAATTTTCCACGAAGGGACTGGGCTAGAAGGCCAAGCCCTTCCCTGCCTCAGCGATTGCAACTCGAAATGCATCATCCTTGGATCATGGTCCAATATTTAAGGGGGCAACTCGAAACTGATCCTGTTCAAGCAATGCGATAGCAATGCTATCTCCACGAGGGGGTCCCCTTGGCCCGTTTCTTCCGCTCCAACGCACCTCCGCTCGCTCGCGCCGAGGCGCAGAAGTTCTCGCGGGGCACCAGCTGCAGCGCGGGGCCTTTGAGCACCGCGACCTTGTCGAACTCGCCTCGGCAAGCCGCCGGCGAGCCGCGAGCGAGCCGCGAGCGAGCCGCGCGCGCCCGGGAGGCCGGGGCGGGGCTGTGGGCCATGTGATCCGCTGGGCCCCAGGGCCATGTGGGTGGACGAAATTCTGCACCTAACAAACCCTGGAAGAATGATTGTAAAGACCAATGAGCAATGGCTTACGTTCATTGCAAAGTGGTGCAGGATTGCGTCCATCCACAGTAGGAGAAAACGAGGGATCCATGATCCATGTGAGACGCTCTCACCCAAGGACATCTGCAGCCCGAATTCCACCTCAAAATTGGTGGTTTACAGAGAAACCACCGGGACCCAAAGGTATAACTTTGACAAGTGCTCAGAATCTTCACTGTGAAAGACCCAGTGAGGGAGCCCTGAGACATTGCTAGCGGCCCGGTACCACGGACTGCATGGTTGTTTGCATGTCATAGCTTTTGACACGGTGATTCTGCTCGCCCCCTCCGTGTGTGCATGTGCGTGTTTCAAAATAGGGCTCCAACATGGTCCAATGGTGATTCTCCTTTTTGCTTCCTTTTGTAATACCCGGCTGAAAAGGCTACCCTCCAAAAAACAACTACAACAAACGCAGACAAGTTTGACTGCAGAGCTTTGTGAGCTGCTAGTGAAGCGGATTTACTCGAAACAAAAGCGGGAGCGGCCTGGATGAAACAAGGCCCGGAGCCCATGCAAACAAGAGATCTGGTAGGGACCAGCAACACAAACAAGTTCATGGGCTTAGGGACCAATACCCCACGCGTGGGCGGCCTGGGACTGGACCATATATGCATGGTTCGACATCACGCCTCCAAAGGTGGCCAATCTCTCTGCTCTGTTCTCACCTCATGGAAACCAATCCGAAGGACAGCTTCCCCAAACGATTCAAGGCTCAGGGGGCAACCCAGCCATACCCAGCCCAGCGGCCGTCAAATGCCCTCTCCAAAACGTCCCGCCTCAGGTGAGTGACATGTCTAGTGGAAACCACCAAGCCAAGCAGCCGATTCGCATGTTCTTGCATCCGAAAGCTGCTTCTTGCAAGGACAGGCATTAAACAATGCCACTCTAGGAGTCGTGTTTGCCCTTACCGTGCTGTTTCCAACCTCACTTGCAATTGTGTGACGAAAATCGAGTTTGCGAGGAAGATGTCGTATGTGTCCTGATGGTCCGTACGGGATCAAATGACCTGAAAAATGGGCCGCGAGTCTCCTATCAAATTTCTTGACAGACTGAATCATCCATGTGGCGTTGTGGCGTTGTTACAGTGAAGTTGAGCATTGCTTGCTCACCCTGCACAAACGAAAAAACAGTCTGTACTGAACTTGGGCAAATGCGCACGATTGCGGGCCATCACCATCCTATGGCATAAATCAAACACCTTCGGAAGGCGTGGAATCCCAGTCTTGCCCCGGAGCGATCTCCCGACGGATGTCAGAACTCCATAGAACCACGCGGAGGCGGCCTGACAACGAGCCTCCACACCACCATTTGCCGCCCGCAGACTGGCCATACGCTAGGCAAGGCACTGCGAATCCTCTGTGACCTGGCGCGACTCGGCAGTGTAGTCCTCTTCATGCGCTTGTTCACCCCAGGCAGCCCTTCAACGATTTATCCCAGACTATGGCAATGGCAAGAGCCAGGACCTCACTGGGACATGTCAGACTTTCTGTCCGCGAGTGGCTCACCAGCAGTGGGTACTCAACTGGCTGCAAACAACAAGGCTACACTTCAGCATCACTCGGCTCATTTCAGGCTGTCCACAATGCTTAAGGTCAAATCAGGGTAGGTTTGAGACTTGTTTGAGCTTGTCAAAGTGGGATTTGTGGCTGCCTTCAGGGGCAGCTTGAGGCTTGCCGCCACGTTGGTGTGTATTGGGTTGGTTTAGGATTGAGTGGGGTTGATATTGGCATTGGGAACGCTTGCGTCAGGCTTGCGGCCGGTTCAAACACTGCATAGGGTTACATTGGGGGTGCTTCCAAATTACTTATTTGGCCATGGCGGTTTCGGACTGCAAAGGAAACCGACATGGAATCAGCTATCTTGAGGGGCCCCTAGTTTTGACACATGCTTTAAATTAACACAAACTGTCCAACTTGCCCAGTGGCTGTGAAAAAGGCTAAGGATATCCGGATATCCCTTTGTTGTTGGTGGAACTTGAAGGAAAACTCACCCAAACAAAATTAAAAAGGACAACATAAAGAAACAAAGTGCCTCCCTCTACCTCTCCCTCTCCCCCTGTCTCCCTCTCTCTAACACGCTCTCTCACTATCTCTCTCTCTCTCTCTCTCTGTCTCCCTCAAGCTATTTCAGCAGCATCGTGTGGCTTCCCTTTAAAAGGGCCTAGTTGTCCGGTTGCTTACACTCCCAGATTGAAATTGAACCCCCAAAACCAGCGCTTCTAGAAGCATCTCTCTTTGAGGAACCACCTTGTTCGGTTCCATGTACCCCACAATTGGCAGGTGAACAAGTGTTTCTCCTCTCAGCTTCACATGGTTGCCATTGCTTGCCTGCCCAATCCTGATATGATAAACGACATCCACCGCCTCCTATCTCTCCGCCGCTCATGCATGCCCCAAGCCTCCACGAGATATCTCAGCTCCGCATCGGGGTCGTCGCTGCGCAGCAGGCAACCGGGGCGGTCCCGGACCAGCTGATCCACGCTGCTGTCCTGCAATGTTGAAAAGTTGCCAGGCTTTGTTTTCCACTGCTTCCTTGCTTGCATTGTGTGTTTGCTTATGCTTGTTTGTTTGCTTGTTTGTTCGTTCGACTCTTGTGTTGTTGTCTTTGTCGTTGCTGCTGCTGCTGCTGGTGGTGGTGGTTGTTGTGGTTGTTGTGGTTGTTGTGGTTGTTGTGGTTATTGTGGTTATTGTGGTTGTGGTTGTTGTTGTTGGTGGTGGTGGTCGTGCTGGTGGTGCTGGTGGTGGTGGTGGTGGGGGTGGTGGGGGTGGTGGGGGTGGTGGGGGGTGGTGGGGGGTGGTGGGAGCGGGGTGGTGGTGGTGGTGGTGGTGGTGGTGGTGGTGGTGGTGGTGGTGGTGGTGGTGGTGGTGGTGGTGGTGGTGGTGGTGGTGGTGGTGGGTGGTGGTGGTGGTGGTGGTGGTGGTGGTGGTGGTGGGTGGTGGTGGTGGTGGTGGTGGTGGTGGTGGTGGTGGTGCTGGTGGTGCTGGTGGTGGTGGTGGTGGTGGTGGTGTTTTGCAAACATAACATGGAGCTATAGCTGCATAGGGCTGGGTGGCCTTCGCCATATCAATGCGTTTCACCAACAAGTTCCTGCATGCCAAACTAAACAATGCCCAAAGGACAAAAGAGACTGCTTCAGTGGGGGCCCTGATTCAGTGCGTGATGAATGCAACCCAGCACAAGGCGAAGGGCCACTGCTACCAGATGCGGGGTGCCCTACCCACTATAAACTGCCTCAAAGCATGAAACTCGGACAAAGCAAGCATCTTCGGTCGCAGAGCCAAACTTGTTGTGACAGCAGGCAAATCGCGTTGGTGCTTCGCGTGATATCGAGGAACGTGTACCGCAAAATTCAGACTTAAGCGTAGTAGATGATATTGGAAATCTCTGGTGGAGTTCATGTCGATGTCGAGTCACCCAAATACTGACAAGGTGAGCAATGAGCGTGGGGGTAGTATAAACCCATGCACACGTCATGATCATTGTTAGTACGTATTTATTTGTCCTCATATCACCCCGAGGCACATCTTCTTTGCTCCTCGCGGCACTTGCAGTAGCCCCGCTTGTTGTCGCGGCGTACCACCTACAGGGATGCTGCCAACGAATTCCTGAATATGAACCGCCAGTTTCCCGCCAAGATGGTTTCGGCTTTGACAAGGGAAGAGGTTTCTTCAAACTGATGGCTCGACCCCAAACCATGAAGTCTTCAACATCAGTGCCATAGTACCCCCTCTGGCAATTGCCTGATACTTGCCTCATCAAACGAAACGTAAACACGTTCAGGTTCCTTTGACAACATCGGCGCGCAAAGCAAACACACACACATAATTAGTCATGATTCATTACGCCTCAATGACAATCAAATGACGGCTCAACTGGTACTGCCCAGGCCTTCAAATCAAGCTAATTACCATGATTTCCCATGCTAGGCAACCAGTAGTTAGAAACCCCAACTTCAGGCCAGCAAGCATGCACGCTGGAATCCCTGGAGCCAGAATTGTCACTCTTTACACACATCGTCCCAGCAGTGGCGTGTCACGTTCGAGGAGTGGCCCCCGTCAAACAACTCGTGACGTGCGCCTGAAACCAGGGAACACTGCACACTCGGTCACGGAAATCAAACCCTCATGCTTGCTTTCTCTTGTTAAAGGCCCTTGAAAAGGAGCACTCCCCGTTTTTTGGCACCTAACAAATCTGCTACTGGCAATATACCTGACATTAACAGTGTTTGAGTAATTATCCCCAGTAACTCGCAATGTGGTGACAATACACTGGATCTCAGATCAGAATGTGACAACAGGTCTCTTCCCACGAAACAAACCCATTTCAGCAGCTCATGGCATCTGGGTGCTGGTTGCCCCAGGCCGAGATTGAAAGGACTTCGGAAAAGGATTGGATTGCTGCCCTTCGACCGCTTGGAGTGCCCAATCTTCAACCCCAAACCTAGGATTCACATCTTTTCTTTGCTCATCATTTTAGTCAAGGACCAATTAAACAATCAAATGATCCCAAATGCCCCGAACAGAGGGACATGCACCGCACCAAGTCATTTTAAGTCAACCACGGTCAACCCAAAAGCCGACAGCTTGCAGCTTCCCCGTCACAACCCGGCCTGGAGCACGCCTTCACAGAACTCCTCCTTGGACACGTCCAGCTGGTCACAGAGGCGCCGCCTCACCGGCGAAATGCTGCTCGAGAGCTCCAGTAGAGAGGGTCTGTAGTCTATTTTAGTAGGAGAACCCTCCCCCCAAAAAGGGTAAAAGGGCAGGACTGGGGGACCTAGTATCATCTCAAAGGAAGCAAACAACTGCAGTTGCAATCTGCTCGGCTCATTTGCACCAGGTAGTCCAAGGAATCCCCTGGAAGAGATCCTTTCCCCGACAAGGGACCTTGTCTCCGATTTGGCAGAAGCAACAGCGACTTCCATGGAGCACTAGGAAGCAAAAGAACAACACGCCCGTCCAAGCCCAGCATCTCCCGAGGATTCTTTGGTTCCTGGAGCTCCTTCTGCTTGAGCCTTGTGCAAGAAACTTCCTCTGGCTGAGATCGAGGCTTGCCGCAACGGAAAAACAATGTCTCCCTTTGGGAACGTTGCTTGTTACTGCTCAGAGAAGTAGTCATGTCGTTGATTGATTCGATACGCCAATGCCTCTGTTTCGCATTTGCCTTCCACTTCAGTGAGGGATGCTATCCTACTGTTGTTCAAACAATCCACAAGCTTTATTGATGTGGTTCTCATCCAGATCAGTAGAAAGCGGATTGCGCTGCCTTCAAATTATTCATATGAGCAAACTTGCAATAATTGCATAGCAAGCATAGTCAGGTGAGCATGCCGTTCATTTTAGGGATCACATCCCTCTCAGAGATCTCGCACCCGCCAAGAAAAGGTGCCTAGTTTTGATACGTCCGTCCGCGTAGAAGTTCCTTGTCAACTAGCAAATTTACTACATCTGGCTACCAACCGAGCGCTGAGTCCTTTCAGCCAGGCCGCAGCGGGGCAAAATCGTAGCCGCCGAAGCGATTGAAGGTGTACAGCCTGGGCTGGAAGCACAGCCAAGACGCACACGAAGCTCCTAGACACTTTATTCCTTTGGCCGTTTCATGTCAGGCTAGAGGTGTCGCCTTATGTCAGGATCTCTTCTCGGTAGATCTGCAGCTCACTTCCCAAGCAAGCTCGCCACATGTTGGGCAGAACTTGTCCACGAGTTGGTTTCCACATTCTATCTCTCAGTCAAACCCACAGGCTAGCTGTAGCACATCTTTTAGGAGTTACAGTAACCTCGAAGGTAGGCCCCGCTCTTTCTGCTAATTATAAAAGTGACTCGCTGAGGTGAACATGGTGCCAAAGTCATGGGTGTCTTCAAACAACATTCGCACGCTTGCAACCATCCAGGCTTCTGTGTGCTGAATAGGGTGTCTTATGGCGTCGTGGACAAAACGAGCATGACAATCCCTTTCAGGGGAAGCATCCATTATTTGCCACACTTCCCAACTGAATTGGCAAAAAAAACACGCTCAAGCTGTCAATTTGCCACTGCTTGCCACCAAAACGGTCCCAAAGAGTTTCAAGCCCAAGCCGGGGACTGAGCTCTTTTTGGCGCCCAAAGCTTCATGTCCAGCCCGAGCTGCAAGGCCTGGTGCGCCAGGAAGCCGTCGCCGTCCAGCAGGCCCTGACGGGAAACTTTCCCCAGGCTGGCCTTGTTTTGGAAACATAGTGTGGATGGACGAAATCCTGCACCACTGTGAAACCATGGGAAGCCATTTTTTGTTGGTATTTACAGCGGAATCATCATTCTAGGGTTTCTTGGGTGGTGCAGGATTTCGTCCATCCACAGTAGCCAGGGTCAAAACTCCTTTAGCCTGTGGTCGTGGTTGTCTACATAGGAATTTGTATAATGGTGGTTGAGGATCTTTACTAGGTGGATGACCATTCCAAGAAAACCCCCGAGTAAAGGAACCAGTCGTTTGACCATGGCACATATGGGTGTGTCTTTTTGGAATAGGGAGCACCAAAAAAAAGGACGGTGTCCGTTGTGCAAAGATACACACCCATATGCCACTGGCAAATGACACAACCTGGAAATCAACAGATTTCAAACCTGAAGAAGATTCCTCCGCAAATGAGGGGCTTTGGCTGTTACATATGGAGTTGCAGGGGGCAATGGTTTGCCATCTTCGACCGAGCAAACCAAGAGGGACATGTGATGTTCATGACCTCCCCTAGGATTCTTTAGAGGGAACCATGACATGACAACCAAGTTCAAATCCCGCATCTTGGGAGACCTCTGTTGTTTCAAGCGGATTTTCCAAATCGACCCTGGAAATTGGGTTGCTCCCATCAAAAACATTCAAAATTGATGTCCACCATTCCGAGAGCCCCCCACAAGTGACGACACCCCTCTGTATTTCTGGAGGAAGCCACAGGTGGCCTTGGTTTTATTGGTTCCAACTTGGATCAGATCCGAATCGGGACGTCGGACCGCCTGTTCTTTGGACATCTCTCCTGCCCAAAGCACCGCCATGCCCACGCACTGACCTCAGACCAAACGAGGGCCAACCGAATCCTAGCCAGCTTGCCCATTTTAAGCTCTTTGAATCTTGGGAAAAAGGGTGCAACCGCATGCCTTTGTTGAATCGATTTCGCCCCGGGAATTGTTCCATTTGGGGCAACCATGACATCTGGTGGTTGTTCACCTACAGTGCGTGGCGTTTGTTGCTCGCTTTGCGAAGAGTACTTTGCACTTGAGGCCACTTGGCAAGGTGAAACCATTTCAAGGAAAAGACCACGGCTGGGCATCCAGATTCGTGCCAGCGCTTGGGGCCGGGATAACGCCCTTTGGTTTCAAGGGATCAGAATTTGTCTGGTTGAAACTGGCTTTGCCGGCAAAGGAGTCCCCTGGGCCGTATGGGGACGCCTTTTCTGGGCAGACCCCCCGCTTCCGCTTCCCGGGCCCGAGTGATTCCGAAAGTTGGGGGGAAAGCCGATCATGTGCCTCTTCCTGAGTTTCATTGGCCAGCAAAAGTCCACACTTTTGTTTACCGCTAAAATGATCTTCCCCCAAAGCTTAAAGTTTATAAACTCAGGCAGTGAGTAGTAAGCAACAGGACTCCCGTGCTTTTTATTTGCAAGATCCAGGGAATCAAGCGTACCATTCTCCTGAGATTATCCAACACACAATCAGGAGCGAACAGATCTAAACACGTAACAATCCGAGGAGCTCCCCAAACTGGCAGTGGGTAAAGTGAATAGGAGCACAATAAAGGGTGATGAAGGCACACATGGTCATGTTTCTGACGTCAGGGCAAGGAGAACCCATTTTAAATGGCACCCTTGTTCGCAATCGATTCATAGAAGCCTGTTTGTTTGTTTGTTTGCTTGCTTGCTTGCTTGCTTGTTTGGCTCGTCAAACCTCACCCAGGATGCCATCATTGGTTTTCGCCACTGTCAATTCAACGTAATAATGAATCGGAGTCAACCCCAGGAACAAGAATTACATGCATCAACAAGATGCTAACCCCTGCTGGCGAGTTCGATTGCACGAAGTCAAACATGGGACAGCATAGGGGTCCTCAAGCTTGATGTTGTCCTCCAAGCCTCCAACTTTCATCAACTAAACCCACTGCATATTGAACGTGTCTGGACAAAAAGTGCATACAACACGTTCCAGGTACAATGGTTCGCGGAATTCTCAGCACTGAGCTCGTTTGTTGCTTTCCGCATGGAACTCAGTATATGAGGAGCATTATCGCTTTGGCTTGACTCATCTCCTTTAGCAAGTCCATGATTGGTGTGATGGGCGAAACTGATAAGCGTTCGAAACAAACACCAACATGGCATGAATCTTGGCGAACAACGTATCCGCAATGTAACATTGATACCAGAAAAACGAAAGCAGGCAACTAACAGAACATACAGAACCAACAACTGCCCTTCCAACACACATGTAGCCACTCCCCACGGATTCAGCAAACAACAACATAAACTTATAAGGAAGACAACATGAACGACATTGGATGAGTCCGACATGCTCCGCACTGATCCTCATTGTGCTGCAATCCCACTCCACTTTTCATCAAGGGGCCATGAAGACGGAATGCCTCAGAGTAGTCCTCAGTTGCTTAAATGCTCTCAGGAACATGCCCCTTGACCCGAAAGGCCGCAGCTAGTCTGGCTTTATCCCAGAAAGGACAGCTCAGGCCCGAAGGGCAAAGGCAAATGTGGCAAGTGAAACTGCAAAGATTGTCATAGAAGGAGTGCTGTTGCTAGGCAGGGCAACACATAGTGGCGTTTTATACTTTGGACGTTAAATGGAGCATCGAGCCATCGCATGAAAAAAACAAACACATTCACAGTGTATGCTCCGTATCTTGTATACATATACATATTTGTCAGAGTCGTAGCTGTTGTCGCCAGGCAAGCAGCGGTGTACAAGGCATAAGCTGCACAATCAGCCATCACAAGGCTACAGCTTGGTGATGAGGCTTACCTGAAAAATCCTTTGAGTCTAAAAATAGCCTCGCGAAAATTTAGACTACAAAGCTGCGCCGAGTCTAAATTTGTAGTCTAAATAGCGCGTCTAAACTGCGAGTCTAAATCACGCAAATGCATATAAACACCTTGTTGCACCACTTGTTTTTGCATAGAACAGCGCAGCAAGCGCGCCATTATTTGTGTTTCTCTCGTGTTTGTTTATATGCGCAGCGTGGCGGGAGGATGTGTGGCTGCGAAGCCCTGAAGTGTGAGAGCTTGAGAAAATTGTCAGAGATTTTGCGACGCACACCCATTGTATTACGAGCCACGGCCCAAAGTTTAGAAAGCCCAGGCACTGTTTTTGTCACAGGCCGCAAAGCAAGCAGAAAACCATAGCGGAACATGTCCAGAGGAGGAGGTTTTGCAGGTTTCGCACGCAGCATGAACAATATTTATTTTCTGGCGGCTCCATTTTGGCTCTTGCAAAAACAAGGAACCTCCGATGGGGGATGCATGAAAAAGGACATACACACATGCACATGTGATACAACCGAGGTGGGTATGATGTACAAAGCTGCATCGGCACTGCACAAGGAGCATTCCACTACGCCACTACGCAGCCTGCATTTGTTGCACACTGCGCAAGAGGTGTACTTGCATTTGACAACTTGGTACCTGGAGTGCGCCATGGAGAGCCGCTTGTACACAGCTGATTGGCCGGGGAATGTGACTTGTATAAGCATGCACCTTGAAACTGCGAACCCTTGCTGGCGAGGGCGCAGCAGTACAATGCGCCAAAGCCGGTGGCAGTGCGAATTCTGCCATGCAGGAGCGCGTACCAGCCGCAGACAAGTGCCTTCCTCTACTACGACAGCGATGCGGATATGACGGAGGCGTTGATGCAGAGCGGGCTCGGCCGCCAGCGGCAGCAACGGCAGCAACGGCGCCAGCACCAGCACCCCCCCCCCTCCCCCACTACCATCCTTTCCCCCACAGCCACCGCAACTGCAGACACAACAACCACCACTGCCACCGCCACTGCAGTCACCACAGCCACCACTGCCACCACCACTGCAGCCACAGCCACCACAGCAGCCACCACCCCCGGCACCTGCTCCACGGCCACCGGCCCAGATGAAAATCCAAGCGCCGGCGCTGGTGGTGTCACACGCTGTGAGCCCAATCACACCGCCGAAAACAACTGTGCCCGGCCCCGGCACCCCGCCGAAGCAGGTCAGCAGCCCGACAAGCCCGGCCACCCCCTTGTCGGCTGACCAGCCAACCAAGGCCGTCCCCAGTTCTGCCAGGCCACCCCCTGAGAAGCGGAGGAAATTCGATGCCTTCACAACCCCGCGTTCCTCGAAGGCTGGGCTTGGGAGTCGTGTGAATGTAGAAGAGGTGTGCTTGGATTGTACACAAAGCGTTGCCCTTTTGCATGTACAATGTATACCACACTTCTTTGCTTGTACATCTATCTGTGCTTCACATTGTGAGTGTACGATATGTACGCACGTTTCCGCCGGCTGGTACACACTTTTGTGAGGCGCTCAGGACCCTCATGAACGTTGAGAACCCTGAGGAAGATGAGAATGCTGAGGATTCAGAGGCATAGCGTGACATGTACACAGCTGTGTACAATACAAGTGTACAATGTACAATTGCACGAGTGTACAACTGAAGACTCTTTGCAGTTGTATTTTCATTAGACTTGACTCCGTGCGGGCTTCTTCACTGGCCAGGCGTACCCGTCAAGCGCGCCCACGCAGCCCGTCCAGGCGTCAGCCTGGGCTATCTGCGGCGCATGTCATGTGTGCGTTGCCGGACAGGTTGTGATCCGTGGGTCAGCCAACCCGGCGACAAGGTTGGCTAAGCCGCTGCAATTTCAATGTTGTTCACCCTACTTGGATGCTTGTCAGGCCCTAGCTGCGATGCCATCGCCGGACGAGGCCTTTGCGCGGCATGTACACAGTGAGCGTTTGGTACACTACATGTCTTGTGCTTGTGCCAGGAGAGCGACGGCGAAGACTCCTTGCCCACGGAATCCGAGGACTTTTGTGCTTGCCCACGCTTGTATGCATTGCGTTGCACTGATTCGCGCAGGAGCTGAGTCCGACATCGCCCGCTGAGGAGCCGGACGTAGCGTGGGATTACTTCTAGGCGGCTCAGGGGTGAAAAGGCGTAATCACAAAGGCTGCTCCCTTAAAAATTACAAGGTCATTTGCTTTGTACACCCTGACACGCGCTTGTGCACTCTTGCATTTTTTACGGTTCGCCGTCGTCTGCGCTTGTGTGCAAGTCAAGGGAGCCAATTGCAATGACTAACGTGTGAGTGACTCAGAGACCACCATGTAGTCATGTATATAGCGGCCTTGACTTGTATACCGTGCCCTGGCCTGAAAACTCTGCATTTAACGTATAAGAGCGCGGCCACCCAGCCAAGAGAGAATGTGAGCAACTCCTAGAGGAATGAAAAGAGAAACAATGCTTTCTATAAAGGCTGGTGTGGGACTGCTGCCACCGCTTCGGGCAGCGTGCTTGCTGTCGCCGCTCAGGGTGGCCCAATTTGCAGTCTCGATCTGCTTGGAAAAAAAGGCGCGGATTGGGCAATTTGCGAGTTTGTCAGAGCCTCCGTGACTGAAAACAATGAAGTCCCAGCCAAACTGCATCCAAACTGCATCCAAACTGCATCCAAACTGCATCCAAACTGCATCCAAACTGCATCCAAACTACATCACCATGATGCACTTTGTACCGAAACTGCATTGGCGACACATGAAACTGCAACACGCCAATGCACTTTTGATACAGAACCTCACCGGAATGCAGTTTCAATGCAGTTTGCATCAACCCTGCATCACATTGATGAAGTTTGGATCAAAACTGCATCATCTTAATGCAGTTTGGATGTAGTTTGGATGCAGTTTCAAACAAAAGTGCATCATCATAATGCAGTTTGGATGTAGTTTGGATGTAGTTTGGATGTAGTTTGGATGCAGTTTGAGTGCAGTTTGAGCACTCAGGGCTCTAAAATTGTGAAACCAATCACTGCGGGCAGCCATTTTCTTGAAGGAGGAGCCTCTTTTTTTTCAGGAACAGCTCTTTTTTTGTAAGGGACAGCACAGTTGTGTGACCAGAACTGCTCAATTTCTTGAAGAAACATCTAAAGATTTCAAGGTTTGAGCAATGCCGAAGGTGTACTTTGGAACAGCCGCTGCAAACAACTCTTGGTGGCAACAACTCTTGGTGGTCGCAAGTGTACATGCCCCTACCCAGTGCAAACTTGTATTGTACTTGCCTGGCCACGCTTGGAGTACATGACTTGTGTTGTACTTGCCTGGCCACGCTTGGAGCGCATGACTTGTGTTGTACTTGCCTGGCCATGCTTGGAGTATACATGACCGCGTGGGACACAAGTGGTGGAAAGGCCGAGCAAGCTCAAAGTCCAAGCCCAAGCTTTTTCAAATTAATATTTCTGCATTGGCTTCTGAGCTCGCTCAGCCTCTCCTGGTTGTACTTGCTTCTCCTGGTTGTACGTTGCACTCTCGCAAATGTTGCCCGTCGCCTTTTGAGCCTTAGACTTACGGTAGGTACAGCGCCTGTGCACAGTGAACTATATAGGTCGTTTGGATGGCAACGCCTGTGGAAGACGACACACTGACAGAGATGCTTGAGGGTGAGATTACTGCGAGTCAGCCTGATCCACCAGAGCAACCGGCCGCGAAGAAGAGTCCGGTGTTGAAGCGACCTGCAGCTGCAGTGAAGTCGAAAGCTCGCAAGCAGGGCAATGCCAGCGTGGAGCTCACTAAGAAGCCAGCGGCGAAGGCCAAGCCCAAGGCCAAGGGAAAGTCCACAGAGAAGAAAAAGAAGGCTGATCCAGCGCAGCCGAAGCCCAAGCCAAAAAGGAAGAAGGAACTCCTCCAGGACTTGTTTGACTTGGGCGACCAGGTGGTGCGAGCTCGCGAAGAAGATGCAGGCGACGCAGAGGCTGAGGATGGCTTGGAGTCTGGCCGTGACCGGTCGAAGGCGCAGAAGTTCAAGAAGATGCTGGCCGAGGAGAGCTTGCCTGCTGCGGTGCTGGCGGAGTATCAGTCCTGTGGCTCCCGTGATGACAAGACCAAGCTGATCAACACTCTCTTTGTGAAAGAAGGTGGGGCGCTGAAGCTTCGGCCGGAGAAGTTGACCTTCAGCACGCAAAAGCGGCTGGAGACCACAGACTCGAAGGCGGAGAAGGAGAAGGGCATCGGCAAGAACTTGTTCATGTCCAAGTGGCAAATCAAGGATGGTGAAGCTTCAGGAGGGCGGCAAAGAGTACTACGCTGCGGCTCAGATTGAGCGTGAAAGAAAGATTTCTAAGCAGAGCAACGAACAGATTGAGGGGCAGGCCGTCGAGTTCGATGAGGACCAGTCCAAGAGGTGAAGAAGCTCTGGTCGAAAATGACGCCGGAGTTTGCGGAGGGTAGACGCCAGCCGGATCCCGGAGTTGGTTCGGATATGGTCCCGCCGTCAGTGCTCTCTGGCCAAAATAGTGCTCTCTGGACAAACTTCATCCTGATTTGGCCTGGTGCTGGCGAGGTGAGGACCTCATGGGCCGCATTTCCACCTTGATTAGCAGCTGTGTGAGCGGCCGGACGGACGTATC